GTATTATAATCGCCGAACGTTTAATTGACCGTTATTAGAGTTAATATAATTTCATCCTCATAATAATCATTCTATTTTAATCATTAAAGATCCATGGGATGAGAATATTATCATTTCATGGATATGAAGAAAAACGGTAAACTTAATGCTTAATCTACTTCCACTTATCCCTAAATGCAATACACATATCGCGAAAATCTTGAGTGGCGATGCCATTTTGGCATAACACGATAAAACACTTTGCCTGGGAAGGAGCAGAAGAAACGACGAACGTCAATATACAAGTCTTGCACTTACTTCCTCAACATTGCGACCGAGCTTGCAAACTTTACCCAAAAGCTTTGACGACGCGTTACCAATATACACTATATTTCTATCGCAAATATTTCCTCCATGTTTGCCATGCTCACTGACGAAGACAGTTCAATCGAAAAACGAGGCAGCAGAGCCAACTCATCCTTCATAATCACCAATTTATAAAAAACGTGAGAATATAATTTATGTAAATTATCTGACGCGTAAATCTCGATGTGTCCAAAGAGCGAGATTGCGAAAAATCGAAAGATAGAGTCTTGACACTTTTTAAATTATCCAGGTTTTAAGCTACTTTATTATAGTATATTTCAAAGTCCTATTATCATAGAAAAGAGGATTTTAGCGAAGAAGACCGGAAAAAAAGAAAAAGCTATAAGGCTACATTCTTATTTCAATCAAATTAATATAAAGTTTAAAAAAATTTCTAATTATAATTGACAATGTTAATTATTAAACGAATAATTCACATATACAAATTTTGTTGTAATTATGTCGTTATAATTTTGTCGTAATTTATCCTGTTTACCCAAATTATTTTAAATCTGAACTGCACACATCTCTTTAAATTAAATTAAAAAATAATGTAGAATAAAACATTAAACTAAAAAATTTTTTAAATATTATAATTTAAATTAATAGCTACTATAGAATATAAATTAAGAAATAGAATAGAATTTATAGAATAGAATTTAAATTAAGAAATACTATAGAATAAAACATTTAAATTAATTTAATTAAAGGTGCATGGCTTAAATTTAAAAATTAAAAAAATTATAAAAAACATCTCATTTTAACACGTAAAAGTACAGCTTTAATAATAGCAGCATAAATCTTTCTTTTTTTCCTTGTTTTTTTATATATTTATAATTATAAATAGCAAATTCGTTTCATTATTGTCAACAATAACTAACGGTTACAAACGCGTGTCAATGTAGCGAAAACAATTTTTATTTTGGCATATTATATGTCATATTAAATTTCGAACTGATCGAATTCGAATATACAACAAGCCTCCCGTACCAATCCACGAAAAATCCATGAAAAATCTCGCAAGATCAAATTTCCACCATTTTATTTCGAAACATATCGCAAAGAATTGCAGGGGTATTCAAATGTGACGAAGTATAGAGAACGCGCGCAAGATGCGTACACACACAAGGTTTCTCCTCATTATTACGTATCCTCTCCACGACGGATACAACAGAACTCGCAACAATGAAATTAACAATTATTTCGACACTTCAAAACATCGATAATTACGAATTTCACTACTCGTATCATCTCGAAAAAAATTTAAATCGAAAGTTGCAATATCGAAATATATATCAACGTGTACATGAATCTAAATATTGCGGAAAAAAATGGCGTCCTCTGTTTGAATTTTATCCGATAGACACGATATTTGTCAAAGACGTCGCGTTTGAAAGGACACGCGTACCAAGCCGCCCTGCATACGCACGCTTGTAGTACGCAGACACACACATCGTTGCGCCTGCTCCATGTGTATACATGTATATATATATGTACGTTTGACACTTACCGAGACGCAGGTCCTCGCAGCTTCGAAGATTCTGCGACTAGGCCACGGGCGTTCTTTCAACCGCGATCTTGCTGGCCGATGACGCGCGCCACGCGAGGATGAAAGCCCCGTGTGTCATCGGCGTTCACCGTCGCATAGCGACGCCGCCCGCATATTCCGCTGTGATGCGGGACGCATCAGGCAGGCATCCGGGATACATGCGCACACACAGGCACATAAACACACATATGCACACGCGGGATGAGAGACGGTCGGCGTCCTTTGACACGTCGCCCACGTAGACGGCCGCGGCCGCGAGAAATGCACCGCGTTACGCGAGACGAAATATCACGCCGCGCGCGAGCACGAACGCACGAACGCACCACCCATCGATATCGACGTGAACGCGGTCCGCATCGGACTGACGAGCGCGAGACTCGCGCGTACGAAGACTCCCGAGGACAACGACTCCCCCCACCACTTGCGCGCGCGTTCGACCCAGCTGTATACTTCCCCCTCCCTCGCGCATCACTCTCTCTCTCTCTCTCTCTCTCTCTTGCTCCGATCTACGCAACGCCGCGAGATCTTTCTCTCCGCCCCGCTGCTCCGGCTGTTACTCGACGTTCTTCCTCTCTTCCTTCTTTCTCTCTCTCTCTCTCTCTCTCTTATACACATGTTAACATATTTATTATTGTAAAATCACAGTTAATAGGGATTTTGATTTCAAAGTTTCGCGATCGCGTAAAGTGTAATTACGTACGTTATACCAGGACACGCGCCGATGTATTTTATTTTACATACTTGTGAGACGCAGATAATAAATATTTCTTTCTCCTTCTCTCCCGTATCCCTCTATCATCCCCTCGCGCCGAATCGCTTCTCCCCTCCACGAACAAAACGGGCTTATTCAACCCCCTCACCCCTTCAACTCCCTCCCTCCCTCCCCCCTCGTCTCTTCCAACCATTCTATCTCGCGGCGAACACGTCGCCCGACTCGTACCCGCGCGCGTTCATCCTGTCTCCTGTTCAACCTCCTCCGGCGTGCGAGAGGAGGAAGATTGGAGCAGCCGGCACACAGGACAGGACGAGATGCGCGAGCGCGACTCCTCGTCGTCCTTTCGAACTTTCTCCATCTCGCTCGTGTCTTTTACGCTGATATTCCGCTCCCACCTTGATTCCATTTCTATCTCTCTCTCTGTCTCTTTCCCTCCTTCCTCCTCCCTCTTCCGTCTACCCCATAGATCTACATCTACTTTGTACAGTACCCGCGTCTGTCGTGCTATATATTTTCGTATCTGTCGTTCGGTATATTGCTTTTTACCCCTCGTATATTCGAAGTAAGCGGCGAGGCTTTTTCCCTACGCGAAGGGCGATCTATCAATGAAACAAAAGGAACAACGCGAAGGCGAAGGCGACGACGACGGTGACAGAAGGACGGTGGGTGGCGGCCTGGAATCCTTCTCCCCCTCCCCCCTATCCATCGGTCCTCGACGGCGCGAAACCATTACCCCGGGAATGTTGCGCGCTGGATTAGTTTGATTATCGACATGCGGCGGCGCCGAGGCCGCGAGCAATTTAATTATGGAAACGGTATGCTACAAAGGACGAGCCCGCGATATCCAATTAGTTTCCACGGGGGCTGCTGCGAGTTCGTATTCGCTCTTAACGACTGCTAACCCCGGCAGGAACGCTAATTGTTCGTAACTATCGAACGAGGAAGCTTCATATTAACTGCCGTGATGATCGCGTTCTCCGTTTGTTTATAGAGTAATTTGTAATTAAGTTTTCGTTTCAACACTGACATACTCGATCCGTAAGAATAGGAAGTCCTACAGGTAAAATAAGGAAGACTGGATTAATGTTATTATCAAGTCCAAATAAAATTAAATGATAAATAAATTATAATGAAATAAAGGAAAAATAAGATTAGAATGTAAGGAGTAATTTTATCTTATTGTTAGAGTTAACTTCATGTAGATTTTATGCACTATATTTGAGATGTATAATTAACGAGATATATGTCAGAAAACCTCGATCGGATCAAATATCTTTCTTTGAGAGAAATGCGAGAATCTTACGTACGTGATCTTTCGATGTATTTTTGCTCGTGGAACCAAATTACACCATTAATTCGCAATCGTGTCGCGCGAGCAAAGTCGATATTTCTCGTCTCTCGTGTTTCCTCTTGACGTCACGAAGTAACGCTAAACGAGAATCGTCGAGTCACTCCTGGAGATGCGAAAAAAATTGATTCGTCTCTAGGGATAGAAGAGAGAGAGAGAGAGAGAGAGAGAGAGAGAGAGAGACAGAAAAAAAGAGAGAGAAAGAGGGAAAAAGAGTGATCGTCGGCCTCGTACAAAAGGCGCGAGATTGATGGCGAAGCCTTTTTAACGAGAAGCGAAGGCGAACGTTAATCAATAGTACGCGCGGCACCACATTCAAAATAAATTCTAATCCGGACCATCGTCCGGAAGGGACGATTACTGGATCATTGTTCCGTTCGGCCATTCTTTTCGGGATGCTGCGGACGGCTTTTTTCACCGTCCGATCGCATTAGTCGCAATTAGCGCGGAATTTATTCCTCGAAAAGTTGCCGAACGGCTAATGCCGTTTGATTAATCGCTCTTTTTCAACTATCTCGACGAATTGTTACAAAAATATTCGTTACCGAATGAAGTAACTATTGTACACTATCGTCTTGTTGGAAAATAACAAAAGTTGTATTCGTTTGATATTTACGTAATTATTGAAGATATATTATTATTATTATTGCAAATTAGTTGAGTGCCAAAAATGTATGCATAAATTCAACTAAATAATGGTACATACGGCTAAACATCGTTGTATTAATAACCCTAGAATTACGAGAAAAATCTTTTTGAGATGCTGCAGTATATTCAACTTATATTCAACTTACTCTGATATCTCTGATGTCATCTTGAATAAAAAAATCTTTGCCTCTTTCTCAACATTCTTGAAATCTTTAACTTTCGTCTTTTTCAACACAGTATACGATGATTGTTTATCACGAAATTCACTTGATCATTATTGAAATTATTTCACTGATATTTGAGTGTTTTGCCAACCTTTATTAACAGAAAAACAGTTGCTCTCTAAATCAGTGGATTGGCACGATTGATTTTTAGTACATCATCGCGTCAGATGATGTCGCTCTTTTACGAGCTACGAAGATAGAAACAGTTGAGGTTAGGTTATGTCTCGCGTTGAACACCTGTCAAACTCGTAAAGGAACAATTCAATCCTCGAGAAAAAACACGATCTTTTCATAATCAATCATGGTAATTTCAATTCAGATTTTAACTAATATTTTAATTAATAAATTTATTATAATCTATTGAAATCTATTATAATTTAAACCTTGATCTACTTTCTCCATGTCCTATATATCTTATCTTTGACACAAGAGAATTCCTTATGTATATTTAGTTTCTTTAATTCATGTATAATTATGTTGTATTCATTCACAATACAATAATTATAATATTACAGGCACGTTACTTTAGAGAAGAAGATATAGATGGTGAGTTAAAGATGTAGCAATTATTTACATATCATCGCATATATTTTTATGTACATCTTATACAAGTGAATGAGTAAGTAATCTTGAATAAATAATATATTAATATTATTTTTTTAATAGAATTTCGAGAATGTTTCTATTTGTTTGCTCGAAGCGGTCAAATTCGTACACTTGATGAGCTCACTATAATTATGAGATCCTTAGGGCTAAGTCCGACTATTGCAGAATTAAACAAATATATGAAAGATAAAGGTAACAGTGTTTTTACACTAATTTTTTTTTTCAAATGAAACATTTTTATCTATCTCAATTCCAGGTGGAAAAATGTCTTTTGCTGATTTCTTGGAAGTTATGCATCTTCAGACACGTGCAGAGGATCTACCGAAAGAAGTGATTAAAGCTTTTCAAGCTGCAGATGTCTCCCACAGTGGTACTATTCCAGCACGACAATTGGCACATATGCTGCTTCATTGGGGAGAACAATTGAGTAGCAAAGAAGGTAAATAAATTGTGATATTGTGATATATAATTGATTGGACCTGTCCAATTTTATTTTTTTTATTACAGTGGAACAAATTTTCCGGGAAGCCAATGTATCTCTAAATGGATATGTTAAATATGAAGACTTTGTGAAAATAGCCTGTGCACCTGTACCTGATTATTATTAATATTGTTAAAAGACTCACATTTATATATATATTCTATTATAATATTTAATATTTTTACTATAGATGGAAATGCACATGAAAGAGGAAGATTTTTTATATGACTACAAAAAAAAATTAATTTATTACACACTTTTATAAAAAATTGTATAACTTAAAAATGTGGTTATGGGACTTCCATAGTTATTGGATATAATAAATATAAAGTTTGTTTCATTATTTATTCTTTTTATCTCTTAATTATACTTTTGACCCTGTTCAAGTACGTATTGATTTTTAACGATACATTTAGATTCAAACATTTAGATAACAAGTTCTTTATCGATTCTAGATCTAAATGTTAACATTTTATAATAGATAAACACTCTTCACATTTGTAATGTACTAAGGAATTTTTATGAACCGCATCGCTAAATTTACATATTGCGTGAGAAATTCGATGCATATATTTACAATCTCTAACTACTACAAAATTATTTATTCAATATCAATGACATCATACACACACACAAGACTAGTGATGAATTTAAGTTGTATTTTTGAGATATACATTTCTATATATATAGGCGATATTCAAGAAAATTTCTTCTAAAAAAAAATTCCATAAATTTGTTACTAAAGTAATAATAATTTTAACAATCATTTTTATTTTTAAAATTTATCTTTTTTGAGAAATAAATACTTCATTTTTTAAACATACAGTATAAAAAATTTACAAATTAAAAAAAAAGAAATCGATAAAAATTAAAGTGAGTCTCGAAATACTCGATTTTTTTTCTACTAATCTTTATTTAAGGAAATTAAAAATTAAACAATTGAATTTGTTTACCATAATTAGAATTAATAATTAATTGTCAGAATGATTTTCCCTCTAGTTGAAAAATTAATGAATGATAAAAGATAAAGATATTTTTATTTTTTAAACTGCCAATTTTTTTTTGTAGAGCATAAAATATTTCTATCAAATTTTCAAAAACTACTATTCATAGATTACCACACATATCTCAAAAAACAAATATAACAAGAAATACACTCATTTCTTCCTTGTAACAACGAATCTGAACTGCTTTTTTTTAATGTAGACAGAATAAAATTATTCTTCGAGTCCAGTATGAAGATTCATAATGAAGAAGAAACGTGATCGCCAACCATTTAGTCGATTAATCGAATCGATAATCCAAGGATTATCCGTCTTTAGATTATGCATCTTGGGACGGAGGCGAGCCGCATAGAATCACCGCCGTGCTAACGATCGTCGTGAGAAAGAAAACGCACAACAGTGCACGATCACTGACCAGAGCGACTTGTTTCCAATCTAACTCTGTCCTTTCTCGGCGATCCTGTTCTACCAGACGTCGCTCGTTCCTCTCAATGGTTGCATGCACTCTTCCCAGGACCCGGGACCACTGTGCCTCAAGGCCGCCTTCCTTTCCGAGATCTGTGCAATTGTTCGACGCGATTCGTAAGACATTAATCGCACGGGATGAATCAGCTGATTAACGAAACTAGACTAGATCAGATTGCATCAAAGACTACAAGACGTTGATTGATCAAGCTATAATGTTTTGTGAGAGGAATATAAATAAATGTATCGTAAAAAATCATATAACATTACTTTTAAAGATAGAATATACTTTTTATAAAAGAATGAAGAAAAAATTTATAATATAGAAAATATAGAATAAAAAAAAATTAACAAACGCAATAATGATAAATAATAGTAATACACATTCAAAAACGATGTATATAATATCAATAAATGTATATACAAGAATTTTAAAAAATCAAGTAATACAGTGTTCTTGTCATTAAACCAATCATGATAAGATGATTCAGGAATATATTACAATTATAATCAATACTTATTATATAAAAAACTCACCTAAACTGGGACTGCTGCTATTACTATCATCCCTCCTCGATACATACTTGGGAGATACGTGCTGTTCCGGTAGTTCGGATTTGCAGTGCAGTGGACAATTGTTCTTTCTTCTCGGGAATTGCTCCGCCGGTTCCTGCTGATATAACAAATTTCTGTGATATCAGATTGATGATCGCGATGTAACTTTTCTATAGAACGTAGCAATAGCGGGGACGCGTTTATAGAAACTATATCAACGTGAAACTTTCTCTCTGCGAAGTATAACATGTTTCTTTTCTCACATATTCCCTTTAATTTTTTATAGATTTTTTACATTATCTTATAGTTTCTTTAATTATCTTTTATTCTAATTTATCCTTGTATTTTCTTTACGCAATGTTACGTTAAGATATCATCTTTACTTTTTTGTAATTTATATATATCAAAACAATCCTTGCTTTTATTTATTTACGTCGATTCTGCTTAAACTATTATTCGCCGGAAGCTGCACGACTCTCAGAATTATCATTTGACTAATCGCTGAGAAGCGCGCAGCGGAATATTGACTCATTTTATTATATTCAAATGATTGAGAAACACCGGATAGCGATTTACAAAATGCCCCGCGTGTTACAAAGAACAATATCCATGTGCATTACGTTATCCGTTTTACCGATCTATTCTCCTCTTGGAAATTCAGAAATACTATCCTGGCTAATTTGTCTAAGACCAACGATCTCACGATACTCGGTACTCGTATACCCCGCACACCACGATGATGCAAATTCAATGTCACGACCGCCAGGCCGGATGCAAATGACACTAGGCAAATGCTGACACCGTAATAAAGACCTGAAAATATCACAAGGGGGAAAATATATTTCAATAAAAATAAATATTAATTTAAAAACCGCATAAAAATAATAATTTCAAAATAAAAGCTTATTGCAAGAGTATATGATATTAATTTTTAAAATAATATTTCCATTTTTTACAAGATACAGTATATAAAATGTTATGTGCGTATAGTAAAATACATTATTGTCTCGTTTAAAGTTCAAAGTACGGTTTTTATACATATAAAATTATTTACATAAATATGTAATAATAACTTAGAAATGTAAGAACCGATAAAATGAATAACGAAGAGTAAATCGAACAATATAGAGATAGAGTATACTATGTATTGTTTTAAACATATAATACAGAAAAATATTCTCTGAATCTGAATATCATACATTTTGTTATGTTTTCTTAAACATTTTATTATGTTCTCTTAATAAATACAAACAATGATACCACAAGCCATTAAAGATTTTTTTCCATTTAATGGAATATTGAACTGCTTTTATTCAGTTTTATCGTTATAAACACGTTTCTTTTTCCTTTGAAGACTACAGCAGAAGCAAGACAATACTGATTCTTATACATGGTTAACCGCGTCTCAAGAAAATCTCAAGTGCATCTTCCGCGTATTTTTTAATAAATAACAAGTTACAGACAGCTCGAAAATGAAAATCGCAATCATATTCTACGTTACATAAAATTAACGAGAAAAATGGATAATATTTTTATATTTTAGATATAAATTTCAACTTTTTAGATATAAATTTCAAATAGCTTAATTAAACATAATATAATATTTATAAAATAAGATTATGATAGAAAGATAGAAACAGCTCGTTAAGTACTCACTTATTAACGGTGTTTTCTCCGTAGGCGGCAAAGTTTCGCGGATGGTCATCAAGAAGACCGTCATGGAGAGGAGAGCCGAGATACCAAGGGTGACTTTCTCTCCCGACTCGGAGGGCACGTAGAACACCAGCAGGGCTGGAAAGAGCAAACAAAAGAAGCGTCCACGAAAGTTTTGCTTTTGTCGCGGAATATTGAATCCGAGGTATTCCGCGAGATTTCGAATCTGAAGTCTCGTGACAAACTGAGTATAGTGAGTATAGTAGTAATCTAACTTGAGTATAGTAGTAATCAACAGTGGAATGATATCAGAACAATAAAAAGACAAGAAAAGAGGAGCGAAGAGACAATTTCGAACCACCTTTCTTTCAAGACTTCGGTAAATTTAAATTTTCTCAAGTTTTCTACTTCTTTTTCGCTAATGTATACACATATCTATAATACATAAAGTCTTTAATAATTTACATTATTAATTGTATGATTTTATGTTTCTTTTTTACAATGTCAATCAAATTTCCCGCAACTTCTATTTAAATTTTAATTTTGCGAAAAATATTCATGCAAAAGAAATAAATGTAAATTATGTCTTCTTCTTATTGTTATTGCCATGTAAAAAAAAAATTCACACGGAGAACAACGCAACGATTTTCCGATAATGAAATTCACAATTGTCATTTCAAACTGTCCTCGACAATAACTATCAATTTTATCATCGGAAAACCATTGCGTTGTCTCAATTATCCGATAGTTTCAATTGCTCCCTTCAGTCTTATATTCTATTGTTTTAATATTTATGTTTTTATTTTTGTATATCTTGTCTTTTTATTTGTGTTATTAATTTTTATAATATATTATTTCATTTTTTTACTATTTTTATTTTTATTTTTATTTTTTTGCAAAGAACTGTTTCTTCAGTTGATCGATAATTGCTGATTTACAAACTTGATTTCGATAACCGACAAATTCTTGGTAAATTTCTTTCATTATCGGTAAACGGCAGCAGCAATGTAATGAAATGGTTCATACCGTCATTTCCTTAAAAGCGGCAGCTTAATTCGTTTTCTCTCGTACAAATCCTAATGCGATTAAATCCAGTGGCTGATATTATTTTTCGAGCTATCATTAACGGACAAAACTAATATTCTTCGTTGATTTTACGTCTTCTTTCTATGAGGAATATACAGTGTCAACAGTACATATTTTAATCGTATACATCACATACACACGCGAAATTATTATTTATTAAAATATTTTGTAAATTATATATGTAATAATTACGAGAGTATATATTTAATTATTTTTATCGCTTGTCCTGGCCATTCTTTAAATTTTTATAAGAAAATAAATCATTATTTACATTTTAAAGAAATAAATAATATTTACATTTTTTAAATCATAACTTAAAAAATATTTAATATCAAAATTTGCAATATGGTTAGTTCTATCAATATCGTCATAAAAATTATTCTTTAAATTTGCCAAGCAATCTCTTTCCATAATATTATTCGCAACTTTCTTATGTAAAAATGTAATTTTATCAAAATATCAAAGTTTTCAAATATCCATATAAAAAAACAATGATCGTGACACTTTGCTTTCTTATCATCTGAGATAGATCTTAATGTAATTTGTAATATGTAATATGTAATTTGATCGCTCTCATAGTTATTAATAAAAACGCCATTCTTCCTAAGATTGCGAAAACTGTTATGCAAATTTATTAGATCCGCGTCTTATGCGTTCTTCGTAGAGGCAATCTTAATTTTCTTGTGCAAGCAGATCGTACGGGAAGATCGCAAGAGAAAATCTTTATCTAATCTTATATATATAACTTCTCATCGGCTACTCGCGAGCTACTTTTTGAAGCTTATTTATGAAATTTACTTCGTAACTAACATTAAGAGCTGTTATTTCTCTTTTTAAATATTAATAAATTACCCAGCCGTACTCAAAATTTGCATTACGTTATTGCGTCACTGTTAATTCGCAATCTGAGAAAGTTTACTTAAGAAATAATTGAAAATTTTTTAATGTTTTTTTATGTTTTTTATGTATCCTTTTTTAAAAAAGATATTTTAAAAATAATATATTGATTAATTTATTTACTTTCTGTTGAATATGACAGTTTTTATATTTTATAATCAAACAATAACACATTTTTAGTGATTTTCTTTCTAATGATTTAAAAAAATGAAAACACAATGAAAAAATTTATAATGGAAATAAGCGATATGGAATATAGCGATTATTATTTTAATATATGAAAGTAAAATTTACTATATTTTGCTGAAGACATTCCGCATCATTTTAGTGACATGTACACATTTATATGTAACTCCACTTACCGACACCGTTGATTAGTATGCAGGGCAGAATCAGGTTGAAGACATAGAACATCGGACGTCGTCGTAAGCGAATCTCATAAGTGATGTCGGGATATGGCTCTTGGCAGCAGGAGTAGTACTCGACGTTTCTGCGGGCGGTGAAATCCAGAAGATGGAACTCGCCGTTCGCTTGATAATTAGTCACGTCCCCCTGCTCGCTTTGCATCTTCAGCTCAAGCTGATGCCCGCAAAATATTTTCGGTATAAGTTACGCTCGATCACGACGATCAATGGTGCAAATCCGTTGTCGTTTTGTCCACAAAAGCGAATTCTCGAGTAATAAAAAGTCAACCGAGCGCAGTTTATCGAACGTTACGCTGTTCGTTAAACACGAAGGCCGGTTTATCGACTAAAAGTTAAATTAGCAATTGACAGGTCGAATGTCTTCCTACTGTAATCGAGATCTTTTTGTATAATGCCTATTTATACATTTTATTAATAATAACATAAATCGAGATACAGATACATTATTTTATTTTGCGATAACATTGTGCCTGTATAAATAAAAGAGACTAAAAGATAAATTGAATTTTAAATTAAAATAGAGAGAGAATATAAGTTTTTTATATAAAAATATGCCTTGCATACAATCATTCTCTCTTGATTGAGTTTTAATACAATTATCTTTGTTTATTTTTCTTTTCCTATTTTTATAATTTTCTTTTTATTGTACTACTTCCTTTTCGTAGCAAAAATTATTATTTAGAAAAATTCAAAATTATACAAGAGAGAGAAATTTATCTATAATAATTTTAATTTAAAAAAATATAATTAATATTTTAAAAAATTTATAAGTTTACAAGAAATGATTAATGTGTAAAAGATTCCCTGGGACAAATATTTTAAATCGCACTGATGTTCTCGATCTTTATGCGACGAGGAAAAACGGTACTGACGTTACGCAAAGTGTATTCAATGCGGAGAGATAGAAAATGGGAAAACTCTGTGAAAGATAGGCAGAGAGTTCAGTGCGGAAGCGAACAGAACGGTTCTCGTATTGAATTCTTCTCGCGATGCTGGGATTAAGCTCTTCGATCTGCCCGAACCATTTTCACGACTTGGCGGACTCGCATTTTCGATTCCACAGCTGTGTTAAGCGTTTCCGAACTTTCAAAGCTGAAGCTTCGCTTCGCAAACAATAATTTTTTTTTATTTACGCACATTCCACGTATTGCCATTATACTGCGTCATAATTATTTTTTTTCTGCATATCTTTATGTAATACTAAAAAATATTTGCTATTTTAAAACTTAGAGAGAGATATGGAATTATTCGCGATATATCTTTGTAATAATTTTAATAAAATTTCTAGACATACCTAAATATAAGATTAAATTTAAGAATTTATATCTAATTTTTTCAGCGCCCTGATTTATATAGAGATTTTAAATAAACTATTTTTTTATCGATGTTTCAACTTTAAATATAAGAATATAAGATAACTATAAAATATATTGCGATTTCTTAAATGTGTGAAAGTGAATATAATACCGCAAAGAATTACGGCTGGTCGAACGTTGAATTTAATTTGATTTAAAAAGAAATCTGCAAGAGAGACGAACAGTCACCCAACCGGTAACTACCTCCAAGAAAAATTTAACGTCGCAGTTTTAAATACTTTCAAAGTTCTACAATTATAAAAATAAAATCCGTGAAAGAAAAATATAATTGAAAAATATAACTGAAATTGTCATCTAACATGACAAAATACTTATTTAATGCTTTATTTAAGATGTATCTGGAAATGTATTTTTAGAAAATTTAATATCAATAATGAAGACGCATTTATGCGCTAATGCAAATTTTACAAATTTCACATTTACATTATTGAACAATTTGTCCCAACGGAATATTAGAAACTCTACCTTTTTAAAAAAGAAATTCGTTTAGGCAGCTCAGCGACCTATTCTATTAAAATCAGATATTCAATTATGTAAATGTGAAACTTTGACAATTTGCATTTGCGCGGATAAAAATCCAGATGTGCAACATAAAATTAAGAATGCGAAATATGGAACTGTATGGAACTTACTTGATATCCATCATACGTCCAAGAGGCCCATTTTAGAACACATCGTTGTTCATCAAAGGGAAAAAATTCTACGTTTATATCACAACTGCTGCGGAAGATACCGTGGCTTAACCAGACCACTTCGCCTGTATGACTGACGATTACGTTTGTATTGATGACCGCTGAACTATATTGTGGATCGGCACTGTAACCAGAGAATTGAAAACGTAACAAAATATAAATTCCGTTTCTTATTTTAATTTTCAATTTCTATGTTTTCTTCCTTTCATGATTTAAATACTTTCACTTTTGTAATTTTTAAAAAATTGTATATAAAATTTTTTTTATTTCTTATTTTTTTTCATTTTTTTAAATTTTTTATATTCAATCAACTATAACAAAGAAATATCTCTTTTTAAAATTATCCTTTTTTTTGTGAATTATCGTTTTAATTCGGAATTCAGTTTTAACCTTTATTATTTTCTTTGTCATGTAAAGTACGCTATGCAAAGTATTCCGTAAGGAATCGGGAAAAGTTTTAAAAAGCAAAATTATGACATAGAGAGAGCATAAATCATTGGCTTCAATTTGTAGAATTTTAAAATCTTTTAGATTTACAATATGAATGTATATAAACTTGCTCTCAAAATATATTTTGGAATATTAATACTTTTAAAACCCGCAGTTTATTTATGCGAAATAATTGCTCACTTGTTGTACAAAATAGTATCAGGTCGCCAGACACGATTATAAGGAATACGGATTACTCGAATTCCAGCAAATTCCGAGACATTCCATTTCAAATGATGGTCAGTCCAATTCTGCGTAACCCAACAATTGGTCGTGAGTATCTGGTTCTTTTCATCCTGCAATAAAATCATAACAATAAATCGCATTAAATATTGATTAAGATATGCATATTTTACATCTCGTTTTAAATTTTTCGCTGCTGAGTACATAATTTGCCAATTATTTTGAGATTAAATATAATAATAATAGGAGTTGCAAAATATCGAATAATACAAATAACGAAAAGTCGTAATATACGTCAATAATTTATTAATAATCAATTTGAGGGAATAAGAAAACGGTATAATGGTAAACGGTATTAAAGCTTGTACAAAAGAATTAAAGATTCCATATATAAATTTATTTAGTGTAATGTATTTTATTATTTAGCAATTCGCAGCGCAATGTTTGACCTCCCTGACGTACATAAATACATTCGACGTATCTATATTCGATGTTCTATCGTAACATAAACATTCGTGTCATTCGCGTGACAACACTTGAGTGAGAAGGTAATGATATAAGTCTTATCATCCTTTAAGAAATGCGATTATTTCGTACGGTTATTATCATTTGCAATTAATGACTTGTCGTAAGTATATCGAAACAACAGTTATTTATCGAAGTGGTATTTCGTACATTTTTTTCATTTACAAAATAAATCGAAACATAAGAAAAAATGAGAATTATTGTTTTAGCCTAGTATTTATAGTAATAACAATATTTTTAATGCTTAGATTCGAATATGTCTCGCTTCGAAGAGTTTTTACGTTGTTTTCTTGCGTTTCCTTTTCGCAATACGCACAATAAAGTGTGCATCGCGTATAATAATTTTGTCGGAAGTGCTATGCAAAGTGTTACGAAATAATTAAATTGTGTTTTCGCGAGTGAGTGATGAAGTAGCAGTAGAGTATGAACACGAGAATAACAAAAGGAAGCTTAAGGAGACAACACATGAGCGACATAACAAATGAGCATTTAACTTATTTAATTTTAGTACTTTTATGAAATTAATTATTTATCTTGGTAATAATATATTTTATAACATAATTCATATAATTAATGTATATAAGTTTTAGCTGTTTTTAGGTGTTATATATATATATATATATATATATATATATATACATATAAATTTATTTATGTAAAATATGTTAGCATATATTTATAATTTATGATTATATGGATTATTTATATAAAAAAAGTAGATTTTTATTTACTTAATTCTAATAAAACTTCAAATCTACAAATTTTTGCCGGATTTTATACCTTTTATTAAATTTTCCAAATTTCATATCGATAATAATTATTTTTTTTAATATTAATTATTTTAATTAAAAATCTTTTCTTAATAATTATTAGTATAAGAATCCTATAAAATTATAAAACACTTAAAATATTTTCATTGAAAAAACTTTGGAATTTTTTCGAATATCTGTTTATCATTGAGAAGGCAAACTCCAGAGAATATAACATGAATTTTAAAATAAAAAAATATACAAAGTAAAAAATAAAAGAGAATATTTTATAGTTGACAAAATATTTTCAATAGAAAATGTAGATAAGCATATCAAAGCATATAAATTTTAAAATATAAATATATAAGTATAATAAAATATAAATATAAATATATTGCATATAAAATGTCAATATTAAATTTGAAAATATAAATATATTTAAAATATCTAGTGTTAAAGTATTAAATTTTAAGTAAAAATTAAGTATAAAGTTTTATTTTTATTAAAACGCAAAAAGGAAGGCTAAAAAGACCGGGCGATGTTAGCACGTAAACAAAATAAAAATAAAAATAATAATAAAATCTCTAAGTAAGAGACATAACATATTAATAATAAGTTAGGTGTAAAAGTACATAAAGTATGATTAAAAATATTAAGTATAAAGTTTTATTTTTATTAAAACGCAAAAAGGAAGGCTAAAAAGAAGTGGCGATGTTAGCACGTAAACAAAATAAAAATAAAAATAATAATAAAATCTCTAAGTAAGAGACATAACATATTAATAATAAGTTAGGTGTAAAAGTACATAAAGTATGATTAAAAATATTAATTCGTGAAAATTGAAAAAAATTAATACGTACGTTTCGATCTTTTCAAAATCCTTTTCAATATTCGGGATATCGTTAGAAAATAAAATAAAAATAACAGAGCGCGGTTAGGCAAGGACAAGCGCGATATGAAATGGACGGACCTTGTGTACAATTCTAACGGACGCAAAATTTAAAAGTGCAAACAATTGATATAAAGAATAATTTAAAGTAGAAAGCGCAAAATTACGTACATATCAAGAACAAAGAAACTCATGTCAAGCATAAAAGTAATAAATAATGTATTGTTCTCTTTTTTTGTACTTCTTACACAGGCTTCCATCTCGTTCATCGATTAAAGGAGTCAATTTGTCTCTCCCGCTTTAGCTGTATGTAATTTTGCCCTTTCTGTTTTAAATTATTCTTCACATCAATTATTTGCCCTTTTGAATTTTGCGTCCGTTAGAATTGTACACAAGATCTATCCGTTTCCTATCGCGTTTGTCCTTGTCTAATCGCGCTCTGTTATTTTTATTTTAAATTTAATTTTATTTTCTAACGATATCCCGAATATTGAAAAGAATCTTGAAAAGATCGAAACGTACGTATGTATTAATTTTTTTCAATCGAATTAATATTTTTAGACATTTATGTACTTTTACACCTAACTTATTATTAATATATTATATCTCTTACTTAGAGACTTTATTATTATTTTTATTTTTATTTTCTTTACGTACTAACATTCTGCGGTCCTTTTTATTGCGTTTGTTATCATCCGGATCGTATATTTCTTTTGTCATTATTTTTATTTTTATTACTAATATAAAATTTTATAAAACCAATGATAAAATCAACTTGTAAGTCATTTACCATAAAATATAATTTGTCGCCTCGAAAAATTATTACGTCTCCAAGGAAAACCGCTGAAATTGATCAGTTTGATTAATTGAAGCTCGTATATTTCAGGGAAACGAATTGTCGACAATATGGTTGGCAAACGATCGACGATATATCTTTCTTTCTATTTATAGAAAAAAAAATTGACAATCTCTGATAAAACCCGAAACAATTATATAGTTCACATTATATAATAATTCTATTCTTGCAGTTTTAATTTTTTATATTTAGTTTCAAATCTATAACATAAGAAAATAATATTTTGCATAAAATTTAAAATTATTATAAATATTTCACGAAGTAAATTGTGTATATATAGTTAGCAAGTAAAATAATTAATAATAAAAAATCCCTTAAATATATAACAATTGAAAATGAATAAAATAATAAGTAAAATAATTGCAAGAGAGAGAGAGAGAGAGAGAGAGAGAGAGAGAGAGAGAGAGAGAGCAAAAGAAAACCTGTATAAGATAAAATTATCTAAATACTATTTTTTAACATAGATTTTTTTATAAATTAGATAAAATAAATGAAATAATTTAGAGTTTTATATTTATCACAATAAAATTTTAAAAAATATGTTTTAGTTTGTTTAATGAAAAAATTAATCCAACGTTATTGTTTTGCTTTAAAAAGTCAAGTTACTTTTTTCCATAGATGCTAATATAAGAAACTTAATTAAAGTACATAGAATAAATTCACGGCATTTAATTGACTTCTTCAATCGTGTGAAATCCGGAACACGATGAATTCCGCAGGATGCGTTATCTCGACAGAGATCAACGCTGTATCCAATCGATGCAAGAGAGTTCACAATTAGATTTTGCATTATTATATGTGAGGAATATAAATATTCCAAGTTTCAGTCCACGTTTTTTTACCATATCCGCTCACTGATTCACTTTAACTAGTTTTCAAACTTTTAAAAAAATTATTCGGTTGTCAAGATTTTTTTAAATCAATGAACAGAATAACAAATAGTAATAAATTAAAATGTAAATAATATTTTTAAATCATCCATTTTTTAAAAATTAATTATGCTTTAATAAATGAAATTATATATAAATTAATAGTATATGAAACACTAGTTTTTCCACGAAAAGAAAGATTACACTATTCTAATTGATATTCGATATTCATCTTCATTTTAGAACCAATAGCTGGAAAATCAACGGAATGCGTGATCCATAGCATATAATATAAGGATGATACTGTTGTTATGAGACTATGTATAATATTTCAATTGAATAGAATAGAATAGGTATGTTTAGAATTTAAGCGGTATTTGTAACCGATTATTATTTGACGTATAATCACGATTTCACGAATCTAAAATTTAATCCGTCTCATTACAAGAATTTATGAATATCGCACATAAATAATCAAATTATATCAAATCAATTATATTGATCAATTATATTAATTGTAACTTGAGATTTAGTTGACAAATTATTATATAGTAATTTATATAGTAATTTATAATGATTATTTTTATGGATTTTTTCATTCTCCTTCTCTTTCTCCCTCTCTCTCTCTCTCTCTCATCTTGTAAACATATTTTGTAAAAACAAACATTTTACAAATAAGTTTTAATATTATTATTATTCAATCATTTCATTCGTTTACATTAAATAATAGCCATTAAAAAAAGTTAATGAAAGCTTCACATTTCAAAATATAATAAAGAAAAAAAAGAAGATAAAGAATGCAAGATTGCAAGTATCAATTATCAGTTAAACAAAGGCTTCTTAAACAGAAAATTGTCAGAGGAATCTATAAATACTCTTTAATTAATAACGCTCTCTTAATTACAGATTGAAAATAACGCTTGATTACTCCTACAAATCGTAGTTCGAAGAATTTTTGATAGATTTGGAAATTGACTCGATATGAACTGAGAGAGAGAAGGGAAAGTAAGGGAAAAGAAGATTGCATGGTGTTATAGTTAATGTTATTAAAAGAAACGAAAAGGATTACGACAAATCGAATGATTGACTCTATTGCGCGATAGATATAACGAGCTCTCGTTAGACGATCCCAAGCCTCTCTGGGGTAACTGGTTGGTTTGATACTGCGCGAAAGGTTGCTCTCGTTATACCGTCATACACGAAACAAATGTTCAGAAACTTTCCCACTGCGCGCCTTACTTATTCTCACGCCAATTTATCTCACCTCTCTCCGATTACCCCGAGACCCGTCGCGGTCGCAATGTTTCTATTTTTATTCAATACGATACTTTTTCAATTTTATTGTGTTTCGAGGCAAATCTATACATATAATGTATTTGTATTAATTTAATTTATATTCCTTACATTTTTTATTTTTGTAAACATAAAAAAATGGCAAAATGTTAAATTTAACTATTCATGTATTATATATTTTGAATAATTACATATATTAGAATCTCTCTCTCTCTCCCTCTCTCAGCAAAGAATATCAATTTGAAGCAAAAGTGTTTTAAAATATCGGATTATGCGATATTTGATCTTTTTTATCGCAAATTTAATTTTCTTCGCATATTAACAACCGTTAACAAATATATTTAATAAGTTAATGGCCGCTATATATACAAAAAAGATAATTGATAATTTTACTATATCAATTTTATGCTTAAATTTTATTCTTGAGAAATACATTATTTTATTCCTTAAAACAGCAATGATAAATACGAATGTCATTTCTATTGGTTGGTATTTTTTTGCACAATTACGAACAAAAATTTATTTTATTAAGGATGAAATTCATTTATTGAAAACTCTGTTCGAATGCAAACGCACTGGTGAAAATCTATAGACACGAACGTGTTGTTAAAAATAAAATACTCACGTATTCATATTTTCTATCTTGGTATTTATTTTATTTTTTATTTTTTTTAAATTCCGTCAAGAGATATTCTTTTTTCCATTAGTACATTATTTTCTCTCCCTCTCTCTCTCTCTCTCTCTCTCTCTCTCTCTCTCTCTCTCACACGTTTATACATTATATTTTCTCATGTAATTATTTTTATCGTGTTAATAAAAAATTTTTATCGTGTTAGTAAAAAATAATAACAATATTTACGATATCGCGAATGTGCATTTAAATAGGAACAAAAACGAAAAAATATGAAAACATTTTTGAAGAAATTTCACACGATTCTATTCAACCTTGTCTTTAAAGAAAATTTTCGCGATCAATTAACATTCTATTTCCTTAATACATTTCCTATCGCCATTAAATTCGCAGGATTTCAAAAATGTATCGGTATTTTCGCTGATGTTTCTATTTTACAATAGTCATTGATATTTCATTACAGAAAACACATGTTCTGTGGAAATTCAAAAATATCGCATTCAATTTATCTAGTAAATTTAACAAAAATTTAATTCAGACCTTCTATATATGTATATATATATTAAATTTTATATATTTAATATATATATATATATATATAATATATATTAATTTTATATATTATATATATTATTTAATATATATATATATATACATATATATTATATATATTAATTTTATATATTTAATATACATATTAAATTTTTTGAACAGGAGCAAGTCAGTGGATGCCAGTGTTATGCTAGTGGGATCGAAATAGTAACAGATTTTAATAACAATAGACCACGTGCGAAGATCCCTAACCTGCTAAGATGCATTATTAAAAATTATCTGCAAAATCAAGAAAGTATCGTGATTAAACAATAATTGAATAAAACATCGGATCAGCTGTTGACATCGTCACTCAACATAGTACTATAAGAAAAAATCTAACAAAATATCTAACAGGGAAGAAAAAAATGGACAATAATTAAGAAGGACTAATAACAGACGTGAATCGCATTATTCCTTATGAGGCCTACCCTAATAAAGTTTGTTTTTTCATTATTTTCGCTCGGATTAATTTAAAGCTGCTCAGGATTCGTATCAATAATTATCAGGACAGAGGCAATCATGGAAAAAATAAATTATTTTTGTATGTGCAAGAGACCCAGCCTAATATTTGTGGGAGACTCCCAATTACTTCCAAATATCAATAACAACAAACAAACTTTTTCTACATCGCAAACACGTATTAAACGGCCTATGAATGCATTTATAATGTGGTCCAGCGAACAACGCAAAAAGATCGCTAAAGAAAATTCAAAAATGCACAATTCTAATATCTCCAAGCAACTGGGCGAAGAATGGAAAAATCTCCCACATAAAGCAAAAATTTATCGACAAGTCAAATCAGCTGCGTGAAGAACACAAAAAGCAATATCCCAATTATAAATATTGTTTCCGAAAGAAAATCAAATCAAAAAACGCATTTGGATCCATTAATCCGCTGTTAGTGCCTGCTAATAACTATATCAATGGCCATCTTAACAGGCCATTACAGATTGCTGGCTACTTGAACGGTATTCCCTTCAGGAGTGGCTACGTTTGTTCCAGCTGATTTATTACACGATTGCTGTATGTGTCCCGTCTTTTTCCTTGATTTTATAAAAATTTATTTATATATGTATATATTTACGAAAGTAAGAAAATACGAAACGATTAAGGAATTATTATTGAGATAAACGTAAACATATTATTTTAAATTACAAGGTTCGGTTCAAAGGGGCTCGGAGTAATTCTTGAGCATAGGAAGGGCAGTACTCTTCTTGGCTTTTTCTTGCCACCTTTCTTTTAAATTCCATATAATTTTCCCTCAACTCTTTGGCGGTATCCACATTCCAGCTGTACGATGCCAGTATTTTCTCCAATGACTTCATATTATTCAAGTATTCAACATCCTCAAACTTCATCGCAGACATATTATTCTGGTACTGAGTCTCCTACTGTCTTGATGCCAGCAAATACTGTTTTGGTGCCAGCAAATACTGCCTTTGTGGCACCAAATACTACCACCTTCAATGATAACCAAAATCATGACCCTCAACTACAATGATATAGTTGTCTGTTTGTCGAGTAGCGGATCAATGAATCGACGGCCGGGATGATACATCGTTATAAATTTATATTTTTCTAAACATTTCTTTTTAAATTGCGACAGACATATCTCATGTACTTTGCATTGCGATAAGTATGTATCAAATGCTTAAAAAAAGAAAGATAGCATTTTTAACATTTATACATAATTATAGTTTAATAATTTTGTAGAAATATTGAAAGTTTAATGCTATTATATAAGGATATACAGCCTTAATATTATTAATTAAGTTATTCAAGTTCCAATCTCCTCTCTTGGATTATTCTCTAGAGAAAAGATCAACCGAGAAAGAAATAAAGAATACTCAGAGGAATAGCGCTGCCCTTTACATATATACATACATGATAGTATTAAACTTTTAACATTTGTCAAAATCAAAATTTAAAAAGAAATATTTGAAAAGATATAGGCCAGTATTCATGTTCTTATTTCAAGACCATCTTAAGTAATATCTTAATACAACTCTGTGTTGATTTATAATATCTTAAAATTGTACTTAAAATGACTTTAAATATAAGAATAGACTATGTATACCGGTAAACTTGTAACGATACATCTCAACCGTTTTATTACTCAACCGTTAATCCTAAAAAAAAAAAAAAAAACAGTCTGCTGTATGAAAACTCGGACAAATTAATGTTTTTCGGTTTTCTTCGAACAACAGTATTGAATGTGTTCGGAGTTTTTAGGCAGAGACTCTACTTTTACTCTGGCAAAGCAAAATCACATCGAAAAATTTCAAACGGAAAATCCGATATCACTATTCGAAGGAAACCGAAAAACGCTAGAGCAGAGCTGCTAAGTTGCAGACGCATACAGCATCGATAGCATGGGAAATGAGGATGAGTGATTTTGGACGGCACATAAAGTCTATATGCATATCCGACCATTCAGAATTATCCCCGCACATTCCTACTCCTATGCTGTCGATGCTGCTTGTAATCTGGCAGCTCTGCGTGAAAGCAGATAATTAAATATAAAATGGTAATCTTCGGTAGCTACATAATTATCAGATCTTGTCCGATCACCGCTTACGCTGATAAATGCGCTAAAAACTGTGACATATATCCTGTGACATAGAATTTACTTCGGAGATAAAAGGTAGAACACATATATTAAATTTTTTGTATATTTACAAGAAAAATCTATTTTATTAAGGATGAAATTCGTTTGTTGAAAACTTTGTTCAAATGCAAACGTGCTGATAAAAATCTATAGACCCGAACGTATATATATTGCGCGTATTTTAGTGTTAGTAGTATAAAAAAATGTATATATATATATATATATATATATATATATATATATTAATTTTTTAATGTAAAAATAATATTATGTCACAATTTGTATGATTCAATGTGTATTATATATTTCAACTTTAACTTTGTAAAAAATTTGCTTTACATTTAAATAAGCGTAAACATTTTTTTTAAATAAAGATCTTTGCAGAAATGGAATTATGCTTTATGTAAAATGTGAATATACTAAATATTGTTCTAAACAAGCATATATTCTAAGAAAATATTGTAAAACGGCTTTGGGGAAAATCTGCAATCGCATTCTCGTGTGCCATGTATCGGTCTTTAAAATTGTTTGCGCTCGAATACTCACAACATCGATAATGTGATGAAGGGATAGCCCAAAGACCACAACCAAGGGTTGGGACGAATTTTTAGCTGGTCGTACGCCGGCGTCATATCTGTCCAGCAGATGCTTCGTCAGTCTATATTCGTGCTCGTCACAAACACCTAAACAAATGCAAATGCAAATAATTTTCTCTCTAGAGCAGTTTATTTAATTATTTTCAAGTTTTTCTTTACATTTTTTTAGAAAGAATTCGAACATATCGTAATTTGATCATAGAAATATACAGTATAATTAACACATTTGTTTCAGTATTCCATATTATAGTAATATTATTTATTAATAAGTTATCAGAACTTATTAATAAAATTGTTAAAATTAATTAAAATTAATAAAATTTATTAACAAAATTAACAAGTTATTTGTTAATAAAATTGATTAAACATATGGTTTATAATTTAAACAAATTTGTCTCTCAGTATATGTATTATAGATTGATATATATTTTTAAATATAGTCAAATAATAATGACATCTTTTTTATATTTTAATGGTAAAAGTTATTTTAAAGAAAATCAAAAAATTGTATGTGTTTAGCTATAATATTGTTTTTTATGTTCAATTTAACATTGATTATTCTAGTCAAGATATATTACTCATGAATATTGAAACAATATGTCCTTCAATCTATTCGGTTAGGGTTAGGTAAGCTTTAATATCTCTCGCTTTCAAGGTTTTAATATTCGTTGTCTTCGTAAATGAACACTATTGATAGGTTAAAAAAAGAATTTTACAATACAAATAAATAAAATATAAATAAATAATATAATTTCTCAATAATTTATAAATAAATTAAATTTTGCAAAGCTTGAATATATAGTAAATAATTAAAATAAAGTTTAAACTTAATTATATATTAATATAAATAATATTATTAATATTATTATATTATTAATATTATATTAATATTATTAATATTATTAATATTCTAAATTATTAATGTTATTTATATTATTAATATTTTAACATTATTAATATTATTAATAATTTTAAATCAAAAGAAAGAGAGAGAGAGAAATCATCGCACAATCAATGAAAATTTAATATAATTAAATATAATGCCATGTAAGAAATAAGGAATCTTATTACTATCCTAATACAAGTAATATCAAATAGAAAAGTAAAACGCGATAAGAGTCATTCAAAAAAGAGGACAGCGCACAAGATCGAATAAGATCCTGAGAATCGGTTTCGCAAAAACGATCTCAGAGATTCCTTTTGCTGGACTCTTCTCTCTCTCTCTCCTCTCCTCTCCTCTCTCTCTCTCTCTCTCTCTCTTTCTCCCCCCGCCCTCTCTCTTTGATCCGTTTCGTTACGTGGATGTTCGTCCATTATGGCGATCGGCTACATGATCAGTAACGTCAGTCTACCTTCATTGAAACGACTATTGTGCTGTGAAGCGTGGTGAAACCTGTCAGAGGATGGAGCTAATCTCAGCTCGATCCCTTCTTCTCTCGACAACGTAAGTGTAGAGGAAGATTTTGCGAGGAAGATAAGTGATACTCGTCGCGAAAATATCGGTCGTAATTAGGAGAGTGAGTTCTTATGGCCTTATCGAACCGTAAGAGTTGTACCTTAAACAACGAGAAGTACTCTTCAAAGTAACTGTTGCCAAAGCGAAATTATTGGCAATTTTACTGATATATAAAATGTTCCCAACGTTCATAATTATTTTTATTTGTATATCGTTAATTTTTAATAAGAAACTCATTTAAAATTTCATTTTTCCTCAGTGAAGATATTAAAAGGCCATAATTCATATTTAAATTATTTAACGATTATTAATTAATAATTTAAATCAATTGTCACACATAAAATATAAAACAATATATTATATATATATATATATATATATATATATATATATATATATGTATATGTACTATATTTATTATTTATACAATTTAATATAAATTTTACCAATTCAATCTAATTTCATTTTCTTTCGTTCCAAATTTTAAAAGTAGTCGAGAAGAATTATTTATATATTTATATATATTTTGAATTACATAGCTACGGAGTTATGTTTAATTATATAAATTAATTTCTTTTTATAGATATTTTGAAAACTGCCATTTCTAATATATATACTTTACATTTCTCCATTTAAAATAAATTTTTCATTTTATCACATCAAACAATAACTAAACAATTTATTTCTCAGGAAACATAAAGATGATTGATATAGTCATGATTAAAATTTTTCCATTAAAGTAAATTTTTTATTTTATCACATCAAACAATAACTAAACAATTTATTTCTCAGGAAACATAAAGATGATTGATATAGTCATGATTAAAATTTTTCCATTAAAGTAAATTTTTTATTTTATCACATCAAACAATAACTAAACAATTTATTTCTCAGGAAACATAAAGATGATTGATATAGTCATAATTAAAATTTTGACTAAATTTCTAAACAGCGCATATTGATTTCATAAACGTATTCTAAACATATCATTAAAATATATGTTTAGGAAACGTTTATAAAATCAATATATGCTACACCTGGATTAATTATAAAAATAATAAAAATTAATTTGCTTAAAAATAATAATAACTATTTTGATAAAAAATATTAATAAAGATATAAAAAATATAAATAGTTTACATTTTAACGTGTCGCATTTTTTCTATTCTTATGTAGAATATGTTTTTATAGCTTCTCGAATGAGAAGTTATAAGAAGTTACCCGAGAGAAGGTCTCCCCCCAAAAGATTCTCATAAATCGAAAAATGAACTAACGCCTGTCACCACTGCCGAGAGGTAAATCGAAAAATCTCACGGATTTGTAATGAGATCGCACATCAGTCGAATGTCGATACTGCACGAGCTTATACGGAATATCTCACGAGAACCAAGCTGACTGATGTCGAATTTCTTAGAGTAGAATGATTCACCGTGCGAAGACACCCGTCCCTATCTCGAAGATTATTCCCCAAGATATGAGGATATTTGATTATCCATGCCTTTCTCTCGAGTAACAGTAAAAGTTAAATGAGGTCATAAAACAATAATTGACGAAACTAAATATAGCTAAATAATTCTTAAAAAATGATATATCGAAAAATTTAATTTTTCTATAAAACAATATTTAATTTATTATCGTAAATAATAATTATAAATAATTAATATCAATATAAAAAATATATTACAAAATACAATGATGAAAATTGCTAATAATTGCTATGATAAAAAGAATGATAAAGAATTTTATTTTTCTTTCTTTGATGCTAAAAAATTTTAACATATCATAGAAACATTAATCTTTTTACATATAACTAACTATGCAACATCCTGTTAATGGATAGAATTCGTAAATGACGAGGAAATAATCGCCAGTACCCCGAGACCCCCCCTAAACTCCGGCACATAAACCGATTTACGATCTAAATGCATGCACGGACTCGATTCCACGATAGTGAATATGCAAATTTCGCCGATGTCCCGATCACGGAATTTGGTGGCATCGAGGAGGCGTCGAATGGCCCCTTGACGCGACTGATTCGCAAACGTTTACACTACTAGTTGTGACGCAAACATGAAATAACGAGGTCCGATTAAGACCAAGAGTCACACGGTAAATAAAACTTATTGCAAGAATCCCTTTCTCGCCCACTCGTCAATTTTCACGGTAATTTAACTCCTTCATATCTTAAATAAAAGTATTCGCATATGTAACAAAATAAATTAAATCGTTACATCATTTATTTCATCAAGAAATAATAAAAAAAATTTGATGATTTTTTTGAATAATTTAAAAATAATATAGGTAATATAGGTGATCGATATCGCATCTAAAATAAAACCAATTAAAAATTTAGAAAATTTAAAAGAAAAAGTAAAAGAAAAGTAAAAGAAAAGAGAAATAAAGCAATTTCAGTGGAATAGCAATATTATTGTATAATTGGAAATTGCGATCAGCATAACAGTTTTGTGAGTTTTTTTTTTATATTATGTTATCACAAATTATATTGATAAAAATAAATTTATAGAATTTTAATTAAATATATATATATATATATATACATATATATATATATATATATATATATATATATATATATATATATATATGATTATGGTGCGCTTTCACACTTGATTCTCGTATTAATAAAATTATTATATATAAATAGAATTATCTACTGAAATATCATAAATTTATTAATAATATCTACTGAAATAATATGTACTGAATTAATAATATCTACTGAAATATGATAAATTTAAATCTTGTAAGAGCGAAAATTTATGACAAGTATTAGTTTATAATCAATTAAATTAACTTGATTATTTCTTTCTCAAGATATTATATTTTTAGAAAAATCTTGTGATAATTTAATATGGACGAAAATAAGTATATACATTGTAAATCATATATTAACTCTTTGAAAATTTCTTGGTCAAGGAAAATTTCCACATTGTCTATTTGTCCACATTGGTTTATCAAGGACACTTTTCTAAAAATGGCTCGCAATTTAATGACGTTTCGGCCTTTGGAATTTGATCGCGTCACTAATTTACATCTCAGACGTCTTTGATATCAGTGGTTGTGTAGTTGTGACAGCCAAAAGCTATGACGAGCTTTGACGCACGACAATATCTAAACAGTTCCTAACGTGTTGTACTTTGGTACCGCGAAAACCTTGAAACTTTATTACGGCTTTTCTCAGCTTCCGAGATTATGCAACAATATAAAAAAAGAAAGCAAATAATTAAATTTCAAAAGATATCTCAAAAATGACCATCATCAATGACTGTATCAATAACTCAATTCTTGAAACACGATGATCTTTATTTGCATTTCTTATCACAAATTAATGAAATTTTCACTACTGTCAAATAACAAACTTAATTTTTAGAATAAAACACAAATTTATTATAAAGTAACTTTGAAACTAAATTTTTTAAATTTATTTTTCATAAAAAAGTTTATAATTTTCTCAAAATATGTAATTATTATTTCAATTATATAATATATATAAAAATATTATACAAGTTCTGTAATTTTTTACTGTAATCCTTTACGCGTTTAAAATTAATATATATTTTAATAACGAAATTTTTAAATCTTTTGCAATATATATATATATATATATATATATATATATATATATACAGTCTTAATAGAAATTTCGTTATTTAACTAAATTTTTTTATGTAAAAATAAACTCAACCTGTGTGAAATTAATTAAAAAGACTGACATTTTATTTTATTAATCTATTAATTTCTCTTCTCTAAATATTTATTAGCGAAAAATTTTCTTCAATTTTCAATCCTAATCTTCATTAATTCAAAAATATCAACGTATTAAAATAATCGCTATGTAAAGAGAAGGTGAAAAAACAAAACAAATTTATATATATATATATATATGCGAATTGTTGTTATCTTACATAATTATTCAGCGAAATTGAAATGCAAAATGCTCTGAGAGTGATTGAATACTCACCATTCCCGAAGGCGATGATCAGAAGAAGACCGTATTGAAGGAACAGGACGAGACACAGCGACATGGAATTGAAGGCCTGCTCAACCGCGTGATCGCCTACGTACGACTGATATACAGCGGTTTTCAACCACCGGACAATTTTACCCCTGAATCCCGCGCTACCCCTACCAAAGGTCGCGGGTTTCCGAAGGAAATTCGCGCAGGCGTTCGTCGAAACAATGCCGTTATATATACGAACGAAGGGTGCAAACTCGGGAGCGTGACGATTTTCGCTCACTTGTTTGCAAATTTTATGTCTTGTCCGATAGAAAACATGAAATAATGACACCGATGTATTGTCTTTTGGAAAAATATACGCAAATCACATACTTGATTTTTGAAAAGGCGAGAGAAAATAAATGTCGAAGCAGATATTCTTCTTTACGTAATTTTTGCTCTTAATAATTTCATCGATCATAAAGATAGAAAGTATACACACACAATCAAAATAATATCAATAGATTATATTTCAGAAAACTATATGAATTACTTACTTAATTTTTGAGAATCGACGGGAAGAGATAAATCTTGACACAGGTGATTCTTGACAGTTTATTTTTGTTAATCGTTCGTTAATCTCGTCGTTCGTGGATTATTCAAATGTAAATAGAAATCGCATCGCGCATGCGCAGACCGTTATTCGAGGGAACCCTTAAGGCAGATATGCATCTCGCCGCGAAAGCGAAGTATATGAATGCAATTGGCTGAATGATGATATGAATAGAAATTCCCTTGCAGTCTGTAATTTAAAGATCTTATTAAATAATATAGTATATGGAAATTCTAATATATGGCTATGTATTTCGATACAGCCATATATAGAACATTTTTCAGCAAGTGACACAGAGGACACAGTTACAAAGTTACACAATGAATCATTTCATCTTTGTTTACATTCGGCAACCAACAAGGATAAACTGATACACTGTGTCCTCTGTGTTGTTTGCTCAAAAACACCCATGTTTATTCACATCACATAGTTAAATATGTCACATTGATCATATATATATTGCTTCATTAAAATCAAATAACAATTTATATAGATTTTGTTTTAAAATTAATTTTCTTTCTTATAATCATGATATTATTAAAAGTTTATTTTTCGAAAAAAAATAAAACTGCCATTTATATAAATCTCTTTTCAAACCTTAATTTAATAAAATTAATAAAATTATTTTACAAATTATTATAAAACATTACATAAATATTACATAATATTAATCTGCGCTAAAAAAATTCTGTAATAGTGTAAATTTGAAATTTATAAGATATAAAATTTTATATTTCTAAAATAACTGGGTTCAACATGATTTATATTTTCCCTGTGCATACATTTCTTTACATACATTTCTATACATATCGTGTAAAAAACATGTAATAATTAATTTACATATTCTAATAGTGTTAAAAAATGAGAATATTTAATATCTTATCCTGTAATTACAATAAATTAGAGACAATTTAATTATATAAAAAACATCAATGATTTTATCTTTATGCATTGCATTAAATTACAAACATAATAAATAGCAGACATAATTCTTTTGAAGCAGAATATATATGTATATATTTTTACAACCAATGTCTTGTAAAACACAAATAATCTTTTTACAAATTAATATACTTGCGAACAATGTCTAAGATATTTGTGTATATTAATAAATATTAATGCAAACAATACAAGTTAATTAAAATCTCAAATTGACAATTTCTACATCATCTTTCTCTCATTAACATGGTATCAAAAGATATAACATTTATCGTCGTATAAACTTGAATAAAAAAATTAAATTTACAAAATTTCCTATAAACTTTTCTTATAATACATTCTGGCACTTGGAACTGGTGATGCGAGATGATTAAATATTCTGAGAATGTCTTCGTTCTTAGATATTATTTTTAGTATATGTTCAGAAATTCTAATATTTTTTTTGTAAAAAATATTTTTACAAAATATCCTCAATATATTTTTATTTTTGATATTCTCTCAGAATATATATCCGCTTTTTTATCCATATAATTCTCTAAGAATACTCTCTTTTTCAGAGTACATTCTCTCGAGAACATATTCATGTGTTCTTCTTTATATCATCGTTTTGATATAAAGCAACACTATAGGTTGGCTTAGATCAACTAGAAAACCCAGGATTAGTATGCTCAATGATGCAACGTCGGCAGTAACGTTTAACTGCTCGGTAGCCGATCCACGTAACCATAGGACACTCGCCGATGTTGAGCTGTCGCAAGCCACGTACGTAATAAGCCAGCGCCTCGAGACCAGCATCTGTGACTCTCTCACACCCGCACAGGGACAATTTCTTCAGATTAGGACATCCAGTCGAGAGTGCCTCGAGAGTCGCATCGCCGATGTCGCATTTACCAATATCTAGAGCGCGCATACGCGGACAGCCACGTGCCAAGGCGATGGTCGCGCTGTCACTGAGCGCCTCGCAACCGCGGGCGTTCAAATAACGCAGCTTGTAGCAGTGACGGGCAACGACTAGCAAACCGGCGTCGGACACGCGATCGCATTTGCCTACGGAGAAGTAACGGAGCGATGGGCCCAGACGCGCCGCCAGTTCGCGCACTCCAAAATCCGTCACCTTCACGCAATCCGACACCGACAGCTGACGCAAACTGGCGCAGTAGGAAGCGATGGCTACCAGACTGGCATCGGTGATGCGGGTGCACCTACGTAGATAAAGACATCCGAGATGCGGCATACGTGACAGACTTAGTACCAGACCAGAATCCTCTATACCGTGACAATCACTGAGGTCGAGCGACTGTAGTTGCAAGGTAGTCGTACGACCGCAAGCTCGTGTAACATTGGAACAACCAGTCAGATCGAGCTCCTTAAGATGGGTGCAACTGTCCAGTACAGTGGTGACATTGGCATCGGTGACACGTCGCGAGTGTCGTAGCACCAGGGAAGTTAAATTGAGATATGGTAATTGGACGAAGATGCCAGCCAAACCTGTGGCACCTTCCAGAACCAAACGACGGATGCAGGTATGACAGCCACGACGTGTCAGTGCGTTCAACGCTGTAGTGGCATTTTGCGGATAACAGACTTCGACTTCCCGCCAAAGTGCCGGGTGCCACGCGATCTCCCAAAGACGTCGACATGTCTGCGCCAAAGCGCAGCGGTCACGCGTGTCGAGCCAACTGAAAATCCTCAGCAGCAGATTATCATCAAGCTGGCAGAAATCACTAACGGAATGATGTATCAGGTGCTTGGGTTGTGATGACTGTTGTTGCTGTTGTTGACGGGTGGGCACGCTCGGTACCCCCGGTGTCGATGAGGACGATGACGACGTGGTGCGGCAAGCATTGTTATCGAGGGTATGATATCCCAAGTCGATGGCATCTGAACCTGGCCGGTATACGCTGACCTTTTGCGATGAGTAGCCTCCTCCCCGTTCAGAGCCACTCTGCTCTCCAAAGCTGGGAAAGAGGAGTGGGCATGATCCGTCCATTCCATGCTCCGTTCTACAATTTCAAAAGTTGACTTCAATACAATTACACCTAGTATTCTACAAGTATATATAAATTGATTAGATTATGAAAAGGTTTTAAATTAAAATGTATTTTATAACAAGATAACATAACCATCAGATAACTTTTAAATGGAAGATGTGGATTATATTTAAATAAAATATAATTCAAATAAAATATATATATTTGATGAATTTACTTTATAAATATGTATATCCTCACAGAGGAGAAAAAAATTTTAATTTAGCATTTAATTATCAGAATATTTAAAGATTGGTAAATCTGAATTATAACTTACAAAAAGAGCTCTCAAATTTATAAAAAAAAAAAAGAGATTCATAAAATTCATTAATACTAACTATATCAATGAGACATATGTTATACAGCATTAATTAATTAATTCACAGATAGAAACTTATAAATTTATGAAGACAAATGTCTAATGCATACATTCCATACTTTTCCCATAGATATATTGCTTCATCGATGACTCTGTTATTCGCGCATACCTCGACGCGAAGCAGCATTACTTTTGAAAAAATTCGCCATTATAAATCTCAAATTTAGCGCGACCGCTGATGCATACAGCGTGCGAATTACGTCCTGAGGAATTATCGATATTTTTTGTGTCATTAATTTGTCAGTAATTTCTACGCGAGAATCTTACTCACAACAGGATGCCGGACAGGGAGAGTCAGCGACCGTGCGCAACATCACTGAGCAATATCGATCTATCCGCCACCTCCATGTTGATCCCGCATTCCAATTCTCGAAGCAGCTGCGGGGCCCGTGTTTTCGCTCTCGCGGGGATCTGGGGGCCTCGGGGAGACCAGGGACAATCTATCCGATTGTCGCGGGTGTCCCGGAATTCGTCGAGTCCCACGCGCGATCGCCGAAGAACGCTGTATGTGATCGCGTTTCGGATGCAGGACGAAAAATTTGACACATGACAAGCCCCTCGACACACTTACGGAGCCCCCCTCGATACTATCGCGATTGCGACTTGCGACCAGTGCCCCTTCCACCGTTTTCACCGACTCCGCTTTATCCTTATCCCACTCGTGCGACGTCGATCGAGATGTGGGGTTTCTAGCGGCTCCCGAAATGAAAGGCGCTCCATTCCATTGATGACGTAAGGTTGGAAACATTCGTCAAAAACGTGTTGAACGTGAGCCACGAATTTCACGCGAAAAGTAGAATATAAACTTTATTGTTGAATACACGCGCGTCATCTCTCTCGAATAAATGTATCTTCGTTAAAATCTAAATGAAGCGGGTTAAATGAAATTATTATTCCGATGAAGAAAGAGAGCTACGGATTTTTATACATAATTATAGAAAAATATAATATTTACAATTGTCACGCGCTCAAGGAATCTTGACTTCATCGGTAACAAAGAGATGATAATTTTAGTTCGCTTTTAGTTCGCGCGACTGACCTCGCGTGGCGTCAATCCAGATCAAATTCAACGTAGAGTCGCCGCTCTTATTCCTCTCGATGCTACATGTATATATATATATATGTATATATATATAATACACCTAATGCTCTCGGGAACGAATTATGGCATTGTCTTTTATCAGGGCTAGGGTATCACCGCGCAGAAATTCACTCTTGCGTTTCTTTGCCAACGTATCGACCATGAAGGTAATTTACGTGAGATCTTTCTCGCCATCGTTTTTTCGTCGTCGAGGAAGCGCGTTTGACGCTCGCAAACGAAAAAGCGCGATATTTTCGTCGGGTTTTGGAAGATTGTTCGTACTGTGACGAATGTACCCGATGCAATCTGTCGTTTGCTGCGCGCGTTCAGAGTATTTCGAGCACGAATGCGAATTTTTTTTTTGCCCTCTGTCGCGAACGACAATGTCAACGATCGAACGTTATTAATTATCGTCAATTTGACGTGAAAATTTTTAACGTACTTGTTCGTCGTTCGAATAAGAAACGCAAATACTGAAAGATACACTTGTCGCCCATTTCCTCTCGACACAATTACATATTTTTTCCTTTTTTCGCAGAAGGGATTGGTGCTCGGTGTGTACGAAACAGAGAACGAGAGCAACGTCGTGTTTACTCCTACTGCCGCCAAGTACAATGAATTGGTTAACGGAAAGCTGCTGAAAAATATCTTGCTGTAAGTCTCCTCAATATGCTACTATTACTTATTATTGCTGATCACCTTTTGTGCATTCTCGCAATTTTAGAGATGGTATCACCGCAGTATATATCTGTTACATATAGTATCGTATCTTATCTAACAAGGCTGTACCCCTTGTGCGCTGTTGTAGAATATACTTGCGAGACTATCTTGACTATTTGGACAAGATGTTTATTCAGTATCGAAGTATTTTTTTTTTCCACCTTCTCCATATCAAACTCTCCCTTCTTTCGACGAAGGGTTGACTTACATTCCCTTATACACATGTACATATGAACACTTTTTCTCTACTTATACTTCATTTAATTTTATACACTAAGATATAGAACTATGACGTATGTAAGACAGTTTCCATACAACATTGCATTTTGCTAAATTGTTCCTTCACTTTTGTTTAATCGGACAACATATAACAATATGTTTAAATATTTTATTCATATTTCCAGCCTGAAACAATTGTTATATAATGCTGCCTGAGCTTTTTTCTGACATTCAAAAGTGCTTTCCCTTTGTTATCTTAAAATTCTTACGTAAAGTATTTTTTGTTATTGAAAATTTTGAATTTTTAAACAAGAGTTTTGTACTCCACGAGCTCACTGGCATTATTTTCATTGTTTCAGGAGTGACTAGACTGAGAGACGATATTATACATATGATATGAAGCGCAACTTGCTCCGCACAAGGATTTCCTAGACATATGCTGCGCTTTATAAATGAGAATATAACTAGAGAATAATAACTGCCCGATTTATGACATATTCTTTTCGACGCGATGTCAGACAAATCAAATGCCCAATTAGGAAGATTATAAACTGTTAACACTTCAGTCATAATTAATCTTTGCTGCTTGAAGACTGAATCAGAAATTGAATATAATAATAGAGTAGTAATGTCGACTCCTGGCAATAGTAATATGGGGAACGATAACAGCGCAGGGAGTAGTTGTGCTGGATTAGGTGACAGTAGTGGTAAAATTAATAAGCTTCAACCCACAAATGTACTACAAAGGATGACTGGGATATTAGAAGATAAGAGCAATGATTACATGTGCCCAATTTGTTTCGATCTTATCGACACAGCGTATATCACACGTTGCGGACATACGTTTTGTCATCATTGTATCGTAAAGTGCTTAGAAATTAAGGATCGTTGTCCGAAATGCAGTTTTACATTAAACGAGCAAGACATCTTCCCGAATTTTCTGTTGGACGAGCTAGTTTCCAAATATAAGACGAGAACTAAGGGTCTTGCACAGTTAGGCTCTTACTCGGAGAATGGTAGACATAGAATGACTGGTAACGATTCGTCAACACCGGCATCTGATGGATTAAGAAGCATCGTTGCAGCAGAGAGCGCCAATCTCACTCTACCCGACGTAAATGTAATGTTAGAAGTGCTGACTCAACGAAAGCATCTACTCGAAGCAGAAACTTGTACAGCGCAAAATAAACTTCTGCATGAATTCCTGAAACACCTGTTGCAACAGAAGGAGGAACAAAGAAATCAATTGCAAAAGGAAGTTGTGTTGATCAAGAAGGATATGGAGGAAGTTGAGAGTATTCTAAAGGATGTTCAGAGCAAATGTCCGCGGGTGGAAGACGTCAAAAAGGCGAGCGAGAATGACACGGCGCAGGTTTCGGCCATTAGACGAGAAATGCTCGGCCTTATAGATATAATAGATTCGAATATGGTGAAACCTAGCGACAAGGCGATCAGCGGCATTGATAGTTTGATTAATCCAAACGTCAGTCAGCCCAGTGGATCAACCCTAGCTATACGTAGGAAGAGATTACACGCTCATTTCGATGACTTTGTTCAATGTTACTTCGATTCCCGTGGCAAGGAGTTGCTGCTCGGCCAAAAATCACAAACTCAGAGCGAAGCGCAGCAACATGGCAGTGCACATAGTACAAGTTCCGGTCTAGACGTCTTTCGTGAGAACCTAGTCAAGTTTTCAAGATACAATTCCCTGCGTCCATTGGCGACTCTCAATTATTCATCGGATCTCTTTAACAATTCCACAATCGTTTCCAGCATCGAGTTCGATAAAGACAACGAGTTCTTTGCCATTGCTGGCGTGACGAAACGAATAAAGGTATTTGATTACGGTGCCGTTATACGCGACACCGTTGACATTCATTATCCTTGCGTCGAGATGGTCTCCAGTTCGAAAATCTCATGCGTCTCGTGGAATTCTTTCCACAAAGGTATGCTCGCTTCATCGGACTACGAAGGTACCGTGACAGTGTGGGACGCGACAACCGGCCAGAGAACCAAGACGTTTCAAGAGCACGAAAAGAGATGTTGGTCCGTTGATTTCAACGACGTGGACACGCGATTGATCGCATCTGGCTCCGACGACGCCCGGGTCAAATTATGGGCATTGAACACCGATTATTCCGTAGCGTCGTTGGAGGCAAAGGCGAACGTATGTTGCGTGAAGTTTAATCCACGCAGCTCTTGTCACCTCGCATTCGGTTCTGCGGATCATTGTGTACATTATTATGACTTGCGTAATATGAAGGAGGCTTTATGCATATTCAAGGGCCACCGCAAAGCCGTCTCCTATGTCAAGTTTATTAACAAGGAGGAAATTGTTTCTGCGAGTACGGATTCTCAATTGAAAATGTGGAATATAAATAATCCGCTCTGTCTACGGTCCTTCGTGGGACACGTGAACGAGAAAAATTTTGTCGGACTTGCTACTGACGGCGATTACGTCGCCTGCGGATCGGAAAATAACGCGTTATACGTGTACTATAAAGGACTAACGAAACAGTTGTTCTCGTATAAATTCGACGCCGTTCGAAGTATACTGGAGCTGCAAGACAGAAGAGAGGAAGATCTGAATGAATTCGTGTCCGCGGTATGTTGGAGACAGATGTCTAATGTCGTGGTAGCCGCTAATTCTCAAGGAATTATCAAAATATTAGAGTTGGTTTAAAAACAATTAAAATTAATCGAACGGAGGATAATTAAGTGGATTGAATGAAAATAGCGTATGAATAACAACGAGAAAAATGACAGAATTATTCTAAATAGCATAATATATAATATATAATTTATCATAACACGACATGTAGAGAAAATTTTTAACATAACGGATTTTAAATCGAATATTAATATTCATATTGAACGTGCATTATATCGGCGAATAAATAATTTATGAAAAATAGAAATCTCTAATTGATTCATGCTCAATATTACCAAGGAGAGCACAGGTATTTTCTGTGGATTGTACATTGTGTGCATAATTAGGAAAATTAATATTGTTAATTATTACGCGTTTTCATATATATCTTGACTCTATTTTCTAATTGGTAATTAATAATTTAGGAATATATAAGTACATACAGACTGAATCGTAATGATACAAGTTTTGCATTGTTACAACAATGAGCATGTTATATGATCATTTATAAAATTGAAACGATTGTACATCTTTTATAATTTTATATTAAGTTACTTATATACTTAACATTCGCCGGGAACATTATAGTTCAGCACGCTTGTTAATCTGTATTTCATGCAGATATATGTATATATATATATTTTTTTTTAGATATGATCGCAACATGAGAGTGAGGTTTATTACAATAAGCGCAATACTGCTAAAAATAACAATTAAATATGTAAAAATTTTAAACAGTGTATATGTATATGTTTCAAAGTGTCTTTCTTAAATATTTTCTGGATTTAAAATGACGATTGTTTCAATCATGTGTATTTATCATTAAAAAAAATTGATATATATATTTAATAGAGCACATCCTAATTTTCTTTAACAAAATCTGCCAAATAAATTTAAATTCCAGTTGTTTAAGTTTTTTAAAAATTAATAAAACTTAAAACCAGAATAAAAGAGAAAACCATCAAAATTGATGTAGTGATATTTTGACTGGTAATCGTATATATATACAAATCGTACCTGCATTTTTTTTAGACCTATTAACAATTGCAATATCAATATTTCGAGTACTCTAAAATATCGGTAATTTAGCTGTCATTGTACGTAGAAAAGTCAAAACAAAGTTTTGGAAAATTTTTTTTGCAATTAGTTAATGACTTAATATCTTCAGCTTAAAGCGACTCGCTAGTATCACGACTGTATGATTTTATAAACAGAAACATGATAAGGTGTAATCAACGTCTCATATTTTTGATGATAACGCATTGTACATATAACGCATGTTTCTGTTAAAATGCTCTATGATTTAGTAGTCGGAAAGATATTGCTTTAATTGCATATAAAAAATTTTATATAATTATAATATTATTTCTTTATAGTTTTACATTAGAAATTTTGTTGTGTTATATAAGTCTAATAGAAATAATAAAATAAAACAAAATAACAAATTATGATTCTAAAAATTATGAATATTGTTAAAAAAGGCAATCTTAAAGTGCCAACATGTACAGAAGATAAATAAAAAAATTAATGTATTTTAAATGTTTAAGAACATATCACTTTTTGTGCAAAATATTGGAATCTTAAAATGACAAAATAAAGAATATTTTTTTTTAGAAAATGACTTTTTTTAAGTTTCAATCATAAGAGTATTAATGAGACGTCCATTATTTTTTGCTTGTTAATAAAAATTAATTACACTCTTCTAAATTTATTTTTAATTTGATTCATTGTACAACTATGCCAACTAAACCCCATGACAAAGTCACATTATTGCTTGTAACATCATTGTACATAATAGAAATTAATATTTGCTAATACAAAAATTTTATGGTGTATTCTATTTTAAGCTGCTAAATAGGTTGCTCGCGCAAATTCAACTTGTTAGTGAGAACTGAATGTGAAATAATTATCTGTAATATCGAAATGTATTGATGCTAATAGATCACAAAGCAACAGTTATGAATTAATGTATAGTTATAATCCTCGAAGAAAATAATTGTAAAAATGTACCAGTGTGTATAATGTATAACTGGATGAAGAAAATTATTCTAGAATAAAGAATAGTATATTTTTAGAGAGTGTATTTTAAAATTGCAAATTACTATATCGTATATAAAATAAATGTCAAAAAATGCCTAGATTTTATTGTAATTAATAAATTTACGAATTTATGTCTGAATTTGTCTTCTAAGTATATTATTATCGCATATCTGTCCTTATTAAAGAAAAATATTATTGTAGTGTGATTTTTTGACTAACTTCAAATGAATGTTTACGCTACAGAGCAGGGCCAAAGATTCCTAAGGGTCATGCTAGAGTGTTTTGGGGTTTGGATGAAACAGATTACAGCGGAGTTGCGGTAGTTAGTCTAGGAAAACAAGGTCTTGGTATTAACAAACTTGAAGAGATCCATGAAGGAAAGGAGAGTGTACGTGCTGCGGCAGCAGGTAATTCTCATTATTCAATAATATATCGTGTAAAAAAAGAATTATTACAATCTATGTTACACAAAATTTTAAATTTCTAAGTTTTAATGTGAAATTAACATTTTAATGTGTATTGTATATACTGTATATATGTTGTATAAAAATACTGTATATATGTTATATTAAATATCTTTATATAATATATTAGATTAGAAGAAATATTTAATTTGATGTTTTAAGATCTATTATATTTCTTTATTTTCTTTTTTTAATTAAAAGATTATGGCATGATTGTGATTATAATATTGATTTCAATATATTGGGCTATTTATATTTAAATCACTCATATATTTCTTTATTTTCTTTTATGAATTAGAAGATTATGGCATGATTGTGATTATAATATTGATTTCAATATATTGGGCTATTTATATTTAAATCACTCATATATTTTTTGATTTTCTTAGATAAATTTTAGGCGAAAAGTATTAAAAAGATAATTGTATTATTTTGTAGTTAAGATATAAAAACATTGTCCATTTTCTGTCATTCATTTTATTATAAAATATTATAGAACTCTATTAATAGATCATTATTATTTTAGCGGGATGCCGTGCTTTGGATGATGTCGAGATAAAAGACATCAAGCTAGAGACACTAGGAGATGCGGAAGCCGCCGCCGAGGGAGCCGGTTTAGCCACATGGCTTTATCAAGGATATAAAAATGAGGAGAAGAAGAAGAAGTTACCAAAGATCTCACTCTACGGAGAAGAAGGAGAGTAAGTTTCTTTATACTCGAAAATAGATTTGGCATTGCATAAGATTGTAAACACATTTTTCTAACGTAATAATTTTCTTAGGACGGAATGGCGAGTGGGTATTATCAAGGCCCAGGCACAGAATTGGGCTCGTGAGCTCGCGGATACACCCGCGAATCTGATGACGCCCACAATATTTTCGCAACGGGTTTCCGAGGTTCTGACAAACCTTGGGATCGATATTCAAGTGCGCGAAAAGAGTTGGGCCGAGCAGAAGAAGATGGGTTCGTTCCTCAGCGTAGCTCGTGGTAGTTGCGAACCACCTAAATTTTTAGAGATCAGTTACAAAGGCGCCGAGAACCCGAGTGAGTCTCCAATGACTTTTGTCGGCAAAGGAGTTACCTTTGACGCCGGTGGCATTAGCCTTAAGGTAAATTGTGTTACTTTTCTCTATGATGTAAAATAAGGAAGAAACTCGAGGAAGAACAATTGTTGTTCACGATTGCAGCCGTCATCGGAAATGGACGAAATGCGCGCCGATATGAGTGGTGCCGCTTGCGTAGCCGCCACTATTCGAGCTGCGGCGGAGTTGAAGTTGAAGAAAAATATCATCGGACTAATTCCACTCACGGAGAATCTACCATCCGGGCACGCCACGAAGCCCGGAGATCTGGTTCGGGCGATGAATGGCAAGACCATTATCGTAGATAACACTGATGCAGAGGGCAGACTGATTCTCGCCGACGCGTTATGCTACGCTCAGGAATTTAATCCGAGGTAAACAGCACCAATTTGTACAACATGATACAATGACAAATTATGTTGAGCATAATTATGCGTAGAACTGATACAAACTATTCTATAAACTATAAAATTTTTTAATTTTAGCTATATTCTGTAAATGAAACTCTCTCTTATACTTTATAAGATCCTTAATACTGTATATTTGACAAATTTTCATTTATTTTCTATTTTATATATATTATCGCAATTTGATAAATCCTCAATTTTAATAGATTTATTTTGGATATCGCTACGTTAACCGGTGCCATGAGAGTCGCTCTCTCCAACTCCGCGACAGGAGTGTTCACCAATGATGGTAATCTCTATGAAACTCTGAGAAATGCTGGCACGGTAACTGGCGATCGAGTATGGAGATTCCCTTTGTGGCAGCATTTCACTGACGAAGTGACAAGTGAGTAAATTATTGTTCGGTAAATAATTATTTCTTATGTTAGAAATTTAGAGATATTTTTTTTATATCTATAGCAATGTTATCATCTTTATCTGTAACTATCGACAGAGAAAACTCGAATATAGTATCTTTATTATCTGTCACTTATCTAAAACACTTGATACCAATAATTTTCAGAAAAAGTCAAGGGTGCTGATATAAATAATATCGCCAAATGCAAGGGCGGTGGCTCTTGTAGTGCTGCTGCCTTCTTGAGAGAGTTCGTCGCCAAGGACATACCATGGATGCATCTGGATATAGCCGGTGTTATGGGTCCTGCTCACGACGAATTATCATATATCCCAGCCGGAATGACTGGGCGCCCCACACGTACGCTAATACAATTTCTACAGACATTGTAGAAATCGCAATAAGCGAGGCCTACAGCGAATTATTTTTACGCAACTCGTACATCTCGGGCGAATTCTTTTGTATAATTTTATATACATATACATAAAAGTTTACACATAGAAGGATATGTATATACGAGATACAATATTATATATATAGGGGAATCGGGCCTAATATGGAGAGGCTTATATTGATGCGGTTTATCCAGCTTGAAATAATAATATACATTGATAAATAACATGTATAAATAACTTTTACTAGGCCAGTAGCAATATTTTGTTATATAGTAAGCTCATCGAACTCGTATTACGAGAATCAAAGATAATACATGAATTGAGTGCTATAGACTAGTAACATATTTGAGTTTAAAATTATATTTATTATATTGCCCATATTGAATAGTAAATTTAAAATTTAAAAGAATTCTGAAAGATCATGATTTTTTAGTATGAAAATATGTTATTATTGGGCGTTTTTCAACAAACGACACAGAGGACACAGTGTACAATTTCATCCTTGGTTACATTCGATAAGCAGGATGAAATGATACACTGTGTCCTCTATGTCGATTGCTGAAAAACGCTCATTGTTATAGGAACAATATGTATTCGATGAATATATATATATATATTTTCTTTCTCAGTTCAAGTATTGTATACACACACACACACAAAACATATATATATATATATATATATATATATATATATATATATATATGTGTGTGTTTTATTCAGTATATATCTATTATTTAAAGTTTATTAAGTACATTTTATAAAGATTTTCTTTGATTATCTAATTGATAAAATAATTGAAAATAAGACAATGTATCAACTTTTTATAACTCGCATTGTCTTAGTTTTTCTTATACCTCACCATATTAGGCACTGCCTATATCTCTTAGAAAAGTTACCACTTATATATTTAAAATACATAATCTGCAAACAAATAATGTATACATAACATATATACATATACATATACATATATATATATATATATATATATATATATATATATAACAAAAGAATAATGTATACACTATATATATATATATAACAAAAGAATACTTTACAATAAAAGTTGCTCATCTTGCTGCAACAATCTTCACAAATTATTAATAATCTTTATTAAATAACTCCAGACTCGTCCTCTGTTCTATAAAACTTAACTATATGATATTTTTATATCTTTGATAAAGAAAAAAAGTTTAATTTTATATCTTTTTAGTAAAATTGTTTAATATTGAAACTCACTCATTACTTGCAGTACCACATTGAACACAAATAGTACATTTAATTCTTTTTAATATTCATTTCTTTTAATTTTTTTTTGCAAAATTATTTTTTTTAGCAACAATAGAAAAGTGTGAATAAAATGACACATATAGAAATATTTAAGAGAAACTCGTCATCGAATTATTTTTATCGATATAAACTTATTTTGAAACTTTTTTTGAAATCCATAGCAGTTAATCTTTATTTTTCAAAGAAATATCTGGTAAAAAGTTTTCCTTATTAGACACTATTCCCCTATATAAAAGAGATACAATTTTTGTTACAAATTGATTAAACTAATAATTCCTTTTACATATGTGGCTATACATTTGATTGTCTGTAAAAAAGCAAACTCTCATCATATAGTAGATTTAAAAATAAGTTTTATACACCTCTTTTACAATTTTGTACAAACTACCTGTATGTGTAAAACTGAACTCTTTTTCTTATTACAATCAGGATCTTTAATTAGAATAGTAAAAGTAAAAAATGTGTGCTTTAATATTCGTATCAACTCTATGTATACTACAGTGCATACAATATAGTATTGTACAGGAAAATTACATACATTGTGTTTTATATATTGAGTCTAAAAAATGAATAATATAAGCATCCTGTCCTGGATTTGTAAGAGATATATATAAAAATGGCTTATTTAATGAGACATAAACGATTTTACTTATCTATTTTATTATTAATATTAAATCGATAATTTTCTTATATTAAAAAATATTTTTTGCATTACATTGAAAAATGCACATAAAACTATATTTCCAATTTTATACAATATATAGCGATTGCTATATATATATACATATATATATACATATATATATATATATATATATATATATATATCTTTAGCCTAACTGTATATATAAACATATATATAAAATAAATAAAATGACAAATAAATCTAATGTACACTTTAGAATAATTGCTTAAAGTATGCATATCTTTCTCATACAGGAAAAATTTGATTATTTTGCTAAGTATTGCTGCATAAACTTATAATATACACTTATATTATGACATTATTATATGTCTAATGTATTGTATAAATTATAAAATATATACTAATGGCATACAACAAAGCATAAAATTATATAATCATAAAAAAATAATTTCATAATAAATTCACATAAAAATTATTGTCATAAAACATTTAAAATCTTGATTAAAGTCAAGATTCTATTTGCATGCATAATGAATGTATTCATATACACGAATGCACATTAGTAATGAACAGAAAATTAGATTTTAAAGAATTTGAAAAATGTATATAATAATAAATAAATTTTGAAATGGTGTACAAATATTTCAGGACACAGATGCTTATACTAACTTAGCATAATCGACATGCTTGACATACATTCTAGTTTACAATACATTAAATAATTTCGCTGATATCACACAAACAGTACATTTGATAATTATTCAAAGGCACTGCAAAAGTGATAAACACATTTTTATTATAAAAATGTTAACACAATCTTGAAGAAATAATATCATAAACTAGGATATGATATAAAGAAATAGGAAGAGAGATATCTTTTATGTACAAGAGTAAAAATATCACATTACTCGTGTCACATAATTTCATTATGTACAATTGTCTCATTGCCTTTTCAACTTATAATTATAAAATATTTATCGTTTTTTATTATAGATCGCAATTTTACGCATTCCGCGTAAGCTCTCGCTCCCGTCTTAAGATTTTCGGGACTAGTACAAAGAATTAAAAAAATGTCCAACCCTCGCATACAGAATAGTTTCATGAGAAATGCGATGTTCATACTAAATCACAATAAAACTATCAAAACGCTGCATTTGCCATTGAGACCTCAATAAGCTCGTAAGTTATCATAGACATTATATTTGTACATATTAGTCGTGTCCGTCTCCACACTCCAAAGTAATTGTAATATATATCACTGCATTTCAATGGTCACCATCAGCATCATTTGATGCATATTCAAGTCTGCAAGTTCAAACACAAAAAACAACCAAATATATTGGACACTTTGGAACTTACAAGAAGTATATAGTCTCTGTTTTTCTTTCAGAGAAAGAAATAAAAACGCCACACATATTAAATGTTCACGTGCAAGGCGGAGGAGGCTGCTGTTGCGGAGAGGGAAGGGGCGCTGCCGCAGCGGCTGCAACTGCGGCAGCAGCAGCATAGGACGACGGGTCTGAGGGATCGAGAAGCGGTGGTGGCGGCGGTAGGCCGCTGCCACCGCCGCCGCCTCTTCCTCTACCTCGGCCTCTTCCACGACCCCGGCCCCGGCCCCTCCCCCTTCCGCGTCAACTCCGCCTCTCCGGCATCCCTATGTTGCTCGTTGTCTTTTCCAGGAAGGCCAGAGGCCCTTGCAGAGCGCTATTGCCCATACCGCCAACCGGGAACCCAGCGGCTCTGCCACCAGCTACACCCTGCGCCATGAACATGCCCTGTTGACTGACTGGTACACCGACTCCTTGAAGACCGGACGTCGGAGGACCACCGGAACCCTGCTGCACCTGCAAAGTTGACATCAAGTGAGGATGTACTAACAGGGAATGCCTGAAAAGAATATGCTTCCCTCATGATATATGTATGTGACACAACATCAAGAATGCAGTGGAAAGATATAGAGCACAGCCATATAATGACCTTAAGTTTGCATTTAACATCTATCCTATACCGTAATGTAAAAAAAAAATAATATTACTCTATGTTATTTTTTTGTTATTATGCGAGAGATAACTACCCAAAAATATAGATTCTACACGCAGCATGCATATATGTTCAAAGATGGGACACGCGCGAATAACGAGAGAAATCCGTTGGATCTGTCGGGAGTGACGATAAGAATAGGCAAGGGAAATGAAAGAAAGCACAATGGTTGTTTGTTTGCGATGAACAGAGATATTTATTCTGCCGCAACATCTCTATTTGCGTGTAAGAACAACATAAGTGAAACGGTATTTTTTTCGGATTGCAACAGTTAATATTTCTCTTATGTGAGTTTGTATATATTTGCACACAAACCTAGATTTATATATAAATATTTTATTTCACTATATTATATATATTTAAGTATATAAAGAAATATATCTCTTTATTTGCGGGACTCGCGTATGAAATTTGCAGAAGGAACTTGACAATAGTTATTCTAATTTACAAATAATTTATATTTTGCCACTGATTTTCGTAGTCAAAATTCAATTCGCGTAACAATACTTGATGTTCATGCATACAATATCTACATGCAAAAGAATGCATATGAACAATTTATATATATAAATATATAAATATATATATATATATATATATATATATATATATATATATATACACACACATATTTCTTTACAAATACAGAGATATGCGAAGAATTATTTCACTCATAAAAAAAAGATATTTGAAAAAACAAGATGAAAAAGAGGTAGAATATATGTCATTTTTGTTACACCTCTATATACAAAATATGCTCTTTCTTATATGAAATTTAATCAAATATCTAAAAAAATGTCATCTATCTCACCATATATATTTAAACTTGTACATATGAGTTAGTCTTTTCAAATGTGCAATGTAGATAGATCACTAATAGGTGTTAATATGTGAAATATATATATATATATATATATATATATATATATATATATATATATGTACTAATTATGAATATTTCTAAGTTTTATTATTGCCATTATTAGATTTATTACACTTTCTTTTTTTTTTTGTTTTTTGGTTAAATATTTGTACATTCTTCATTATTTTGGCACCATCTTACAACAGTTTTTTATACGTACAGTTAATCCTTTAATACTTTCCTCATAAATAAAATTCAGATTTTTGTATACACTTCTATATCGCAGTTAATCATAAAAGCACTTTAATCCGTTTTCCTTTATACATTTCTAGATCTCTGTGGATAGAATTCTTATAAGGCACTGTTATACGCATTATTATTGTCCCTTATCTGATGGGACCTTAATTATCTAATCTTCTATTTCATTTACTGTCTGGAAAAAAAAATAGCAAAACATTCTCTAGCTTTCTAGTGAGTATTTTAAAATTATTAAAGAGAATTTACTTAATAATCTATAATTCTTTTTTTCTCAAATAGATATATAATTTTTTAGATACACATTCTCGTGCGTACACACGCGCATGTGCAGGCAATTACTCATCTATGACCAAATGTAATGAATAACAGGAAAAAAACGTTGCAACAATAAATATATACTATAGTAAAAAAATAGCAAAAGGACACGATTACGCGGAGAAAACAATGGTATTTTATATATATGCATGATATAAGAATAGACCTAACATTAAAATATCAAGATAAATGTATTATATGAACAATTAATTTATATTTGAAGCAATAAGATTAACGCTCGAAAAAAATCGCTCTTGATAAACTTACAAAAGATGAGAAACTTCTTGAGCTATTATAGAAGATTTAATCTTTTCATTCAATATTTTATCAATTATGCCAATTTACTCTCCCCTATCTTATATGGTAACATTTTCTTCGTTTTTTTATCTTTTACTTTATCTAATTCGAAAAATGCGTATACTTTAAGTACCTTAGGTACCAAATTTCTCAACAATCTGCCTAAAGAACGGAGATGAATTTTAACTTTGGTCATAATACACAGCATTACTTAAATACCTGTTGCTGCAATGGATGTTGCAATTGTTGTTGCAATTGTGGATGCTGCTGCTGCTGTAATTGCTGCTGCAATTGCTGCTGATGCTGCAACATTTGTTGTTGCTGCTGCATCGAAGCATTGCCACCGCCACTTCCAGCCTGTTGGTTTTGTCCGCTTTGATTTCCACTGGGTAATCCTATTATCAATCAATATTAATATCACTGAATATCTTATTTCAATAAAAATATTAAAATTCACTTACCATTGGGAGCTGGTCCTTGAGCAGGTGATTGCGCCCATCCCTGTAAATCTGACAACATATTCTGCCAGACGACAATTTTCTCATTATGTCTCTTTATGAGCTCTTCTTTGCGGGCTAATTCCATTCTCAGTTCTTGAATATCTTCCTTCACTACCATCTCAGGCTTCAGTGCAGACAGTAGAAATCTCTTTTGTAGAAAGAAAGCTTCCATTTGTCTAGCCAGATCTATAAACCTCATTGTAGCTTGTTCCATTTCTGCACGACCTTCATCTTTATCCACAGTCAAGCCACCAGAAGCACCAGTCCCATTGCTGACTAATCCTTCGTCCTTTATTAACATGCTCAAACATTGCTGAAAATCGATGATCGACATCAATAAATTTAACTAACAGCCTTGATTACTTTCACAAAATCAAGACCATCTGATGTATAATGACAATGATTTGAACATAAATGATTTGTTAAAAATAGTTTTAGTCTCATTAAAGGATGCTAACAATTGTGGGCGTTTTTCAGCAAGCGACAGAGGACAGAGTGTATCACTTTATTCTTGTTAGTTGCCGAATATAAACAACGATGAAATGATACACTGTGTTACACTGTGTCCTTTGTGTGGCTTGCTGAAAAACGCCCTGTGTAAGTAACTATTTTACAACAAGCAAAATCTTCCTTTTAACTTATACTTTCTATGTTCGATGTGTAAAACTTGGAAAAGATTATCGAGGGTATCTCGACATTTTTCGCGACGTAAATAATGCAAGTGTACAATTTGTAAATGCAGATTTTTTTATGGCAGGAAGAGCACTGCAGGTAAAATAAATTTCGAATAAAAATTCCGAATGTGTTGTACCTGAAACGCTTCTTCGAACTCATCGACGAGATTACCGCTGCTGTTGGTCGGCGTCGCCATTATATTCGCGCGATTCACGCGCAAAAGCAATCGTCACGATTTTTCGGTCAGCTTGATCTTGTCGAAATCGCACGCATTCCTTCTTCTGGCTGCCCCAAAAATGCCATTAGACTAGACAGTGTCTAGACACACGCGACAAATGTTCTGTTTCTCGCGCATGCGAAAAGCGTGCACGTAGCGAGATGCGATATCCGCCAATCATTTCCGTTACATACACCATTGTATCATGGTGTAGATATTTCTGATTGTAATGCAATAAACGGGATAGCCATTTTCAGTAGAGCAGTAGAGTTTCAATATATCATTCTGACAATTTTATCGATTTTTGAGATTAATTGGATGAATCTTATGATTTTTTGATCGACGGTAAGTACTTACTCGGGAATTGTATAAAACTGCATAATGATTATTTAGAAATCAACGATTGAAATATTCTTATATTTATGTAAAAATATTTATCTAAAAATTTTCATATATATTTATACATGTATAAAACATTTTATTTTATATATATGAATAAATATAAATATACATTGTATTTTTTAATTAAATAAATTTAATTACATAATTATTTTTGATTCAATATTAAATGAACATGTTTAATTGTATTAAAAATAATTAATAAATAGAGTATAAGATTTATTGACTCTAATTGAACTAGTATTATCAATATAATAATATTAATATCAATATGATGCTTTGTTAAAGTTAAATGTGTTGACTGTCGACATGGACAGTCAGGTATGTGGAGATGGTAGGTTGATAGATGTAATTGATGAGAGCTGGCGCAAGGAACGCTTACCTATCGACGATATTTCAACGCCAGTGGCTGAATTGCCAGATCCTGAGAGTGATAACGGAGATTCTCACATGACATTGAAGGAATTGGAGCAAAAGTGGAATAATCTAGCTTTGAGTTCTCTCAGTGACAATCATCTGCATTCCCCGACACCTCTGCACAATTGAACATTGTCGCTCAAGTTTGAAGAATTAATAGAATTAATATATAATTAATAGATTATATATATCTTAAAATCTTTTCTTGTGCTGGATCACAATGGAGTTCCCTGAGACTGGCAAACATTGTTCAATGAAAGATTGCAAATTATTGGATTTTTTGCCTTTTGTGTGTGAGCATTGTCAAGCCACTTTCTGTAAAGAACACTTTCATATGGTGTCACACGAATGTTTAAAAGCAGAGAATGCAAAACTTGCCATAGAAAAATCAACAAATTTTTTATGCTCTGAAAAGTCCTGCAAGGTAATATCATTAATTGAGATGCCTTGCATCAAGTGTAAACAACATTTTTGTGTGATGCACAGGCATCATGGATGCTTGGAATTAAGTGAAACCGAGAAAACTCAGAAACTGAAAAAATGGCAAATACCCAAGAAACAATTTGCAGAAGCAAAAGCTGTTGTAGATCAACAAATTGCAGACAGCTTGAGAAAATCTAAGAATACAGCAATGGCAAATAAGGTTATTATTATTATATTATACATGAAAAAGGAAGTACTTTTTAGTATACTAAAAAATATTGTTAACAAATTTATATATTTTTTTCTTTGCAGGTACAACTCATGCGTGTGAAGGGTTCTGCAATTGGTCCCAAAAATGTACCAACGAGCGAGAGATGTTATTTTCTTGTGCATTTGCCGCTCACAGTTAAAAATAAACACATAGGCACATCTAAAGGTGTTTTTGTTAACATGCAGTGGACAATAGGCAAATGTATAGATTCAATGGCAGATACACTTAAAGTTCCCACTAATACTGATGCAACCATTGTAAATAAACTACAACTTTTCCATCATTCTAATGGAGCTCTAATATATGCTGAGATGGATACACCTTTAATCAAATTATTTGAAAATTCTACTATTGTTGATGGACAGCGAGTTATCCTAGAATATTCTAATAATGTACCTATAGACACATCCTTGTATAAATAGATTGTTTATTTTGTCATATAATAAAAATTCTCATATAAAATTATCTACTATATATAGTAATAGCCCACCAATTAGATAACTATTGAGCAATGTGAATACGATAGTTCTTTATTTTACTTGTGTGATGTATAAAAGACATAATAAGTTTTTATCAATATAATTTGATTTATTGACAATGGCAAAATAACACATATCTTTTAGAATAATACCTATTTATTACAAACTAGAAGATTTCATATCAGTGGTTTTACAGTCATTCTTGACGAAGAGATATCTAAATGCATTAAACAAATTGTTCATACCAGATTATTGTCAGATTTGTTTTAAATAAGAGAACAACAATATTCTGACTTTGGCACTGGACGTTTCTTGTTTCATATACATGAATTATGCTAATATGGTGAGAAGTATAAATTAGCAATATAAATGTGTACAAATAAATGTGCGCTCGTTCATAATTTTACATAATATAGATATGGCATCACACTCTAGAAGAACAAGTGAATAAAATATCATTATAATTATCAAAAAGTTTTCTTCAATAGTGTGTATCCATATAATAAGAGTAATATTCGACTCATAATCATTAATTATATAAAAGTATGAGCAGAAATTGTTTATATGTATTTATATATATATATATATGTATATAATCTATGATCATAAATATGTTTAGAAATATTAAAAAATAGAATATGAAATAAAAATTTAATGACTTGATTCGTATCTAACTAATGAAGTAATTTCTCAAGATTTATTTACAAAATGACATTTATCTCTAATCTGAAATTCATATATTCTACATATATCTTAATGGAAGCAATATATAAAAATGTGCACACGATTATCAATATTTGAATTGCTATAAAATATATATAAGCTCCTATGTCATTTATTAATAATATATCAATATTAATCATTAAAACAATTTTATGTCACTAAAAATTGTACTGGAAATGATGAAATTTATGTTATAATTAAATTTTGTAAAAAGATATCAGATTTGAATATTTTTTAAGTTATAAAAATATGTTTTAATTATTCTGGTTATAACAAAGAAAAACAATCGCGATAAAACAGAAATATATATGTATATATATTCGATATAAAGATAAATTAAAAAAAAAATAAAATTAGATATATATTTGAGAACCAGGTATTACATGTAAAAATGAGATTGTTCTATAATATCGCAATAATGCAATGCAATACACATGCTCAACGAAATGCATATTACAGAGTAGAGTTCGTCATGGTAAATATCTCACTTTTGTCTTTAGTGCATTTGAGTCATTATATTTTTATCAGTTCCATATACAGAAGAATGCATAAATAGTGTCCCATACAGATTTCATAAAAACGTGACCTCGTCATACGTAATTTGCTAATTTTTTGCCAGCACGAATGGAATCGTGTAATTAATTTTTGTAAGCGAAAAGATGTTTCCCCGAGTATTAGAAAAAAAATTTTATTGTTGATTGTAAAGACATAGGACACCATCTCTGCACCTGCATATACATAATCTTTATATAAGATCTTAATCTGATCTTGTAAACGCATCCTCTGCAATATTTGACGAAGAACATCGTTGATCATCAACGATATATTATCCTTTACTCACGTATAGATGAAAGTAATTCTTGAAATAGAGGACGAGTTTGATGAGAGACAGGATGCACAGTATGTATAAAGAGATCGCAAAGAGGACGAGTAATGCCATTCGCGCGTTTATATTTGTCTCTGTATCATGTGTTCCGCGCGATCGGCCGCAGCTGGCCACCTGCCTGTTGGCCGGACAATGTATCTGGTAACGGTAGGTGGCCTGAAGTCAAGCTCAGGAATGCCAGCGAGATTTTTGCAATTCGATTTGGCCTTCCAGTGTTTTCGCGAGATAAATCACGAAAAGCTGACTAAGTGCGATACCCAGAGCGATACCAGCTATTGTGTAGAGATTGCGTTCCGCCCAGCTACGCACGATCTCGATGCACCCACTAGTCCAGACTTTTTTACTCGCTTCCGATACTGGTAACATTTGGACCTTGTAGCCACACATTATATTTACAAGTCCACTCTGAAAATTGAAATTCTTTCATTTATACATTGAGAATAAATATATATTTAAAAAATTTTCCCTTTACTTTTGAAAAAGTTAAAAAATTTATATATATATATATGAAAATATAATATAAAATATAATATATAATATTATATATATATATATATATATATATATATATAATATATAATATATATAATATATATATATATATGAAAAAATTTAACTTTTTCAAAAGTAAAGGGAAAAAAAAAAATATATATATATATATATATATCTTTTGTATTTTATGTGTAACATTTAATATACATACAGATATATCAGTAGCATTTATGCAACAAGAGAATGGTACACCACAACGCTCCACACTAGGGCTAGTACAATTAAAATATTCATTTTTTCCCCAATCCAGGTACCCTTCTTGGCTTAAACCACAGCATTTGAACTGTAATGGAAAATTTTATATACATATATTCTTACACAAAACTGAATATTTTATATAAACATAATACATTTTCATTGTTTTAATAATTTCATATAATTTTGCATAAAATCCATGCATAATCTTTACCTCTTGTTGTCCAAAATCAATGAAATTTTGTAGATCTGGATCTTCTCTATATGTCTGAATTATTTTGTCTGTGAAAGATTCTTCCAAAAGAGACTGTAATGCAGTTGGAAATATAAAACCAACAATTGCTACACCCATTTCCAGGAGGAAAAATAGCAGGAGACACAATGAATACTGAAAAAGTCATTTAATCAGACACACAATGAAATATATTTCATATACTATAGAAAGATTATATTCGTGTAAAAGAACTAACGAATTTAAGAAGGCATGTGTTCTCACGAAGAGCTCCTACACATCCTGCGAAGCTAACAACAAAGACGACGCCACCTGCTATCAACATCACCAAAGAGATATTTAAGACTACATCATAAACGTTTTCCACTCTGACAGATCCAGTTGCTTGCCATTTATCCAAGAAAGCGTACAGACCCACACCGATTAACAGCCCGCCAAACAGCTAAACAAAAAGAAAATCATGTTTGTTTATCAGATTGTATAATGTCCATCTTCTTATCTCTGCATTATCTTTAATAAACTAATTTCTTCTTTTAATATAAAAGTAAAGAAATATATTAGCTGAATTTTACTAATAATTGAAATTAATTCATATTAGTGAAAGCGGTATAAAAATATGTCAACTATATCTCTTGTCTCATTCATAATAAACAGCAAATTATATTTGCAGGTAAACAACGTGATTAAAGAGACGTTATGCAAAAATTCAATCTCAAGAAGGAATCGCTTACCCAGAAAACGAAATTTAGCATAAAGATCATGTATTTCACGCACGAGCTGACGTACGTAAAGTTGTTGCTCCGCCTACGGTTATTCATCATCGTGTCTGGGAGAGATTCGATAGATTTCACGACGTGAGTGATTAGTGTCCTCAAAGCGTAAACACAATCGGGCACAACGTGCGTTGCTTCAATCTACAGCAATAAAACACAACCTATGCCGTTGCATATTTCAACAATTTTCACTCGCTCCGCCATTACAATGTTTCTCGTTGTGACGTTTCCGTATTCGTGTTTCTCGCGATCAGCTGTTCCGCGTTCCATGGTGACAGTACGAGTACGCAGATGGATTATTCTGTTCATTTTTCTTGCACTTTCTACACTCGCATCTTCTATTTTTTGAATTTGCAAGACGATAAATTAAAAAAGCTATGGTTGAAATTGAAATACTAGCTAGTTTCTTGTACATTGTGAAATATATTGCAAAATACGAAGAATCTTTTCGATTTGATTTTAATAGTAGAGAAATTGATAGCACTGTCCAGGATGAGTTCGGAAATCCTACATAGGTACAGTGTTCCGATCAGGGATTCCGTGCGCGCGCATATGCGGTTCTGCGCATGCGCGACTTTTGAAATTACATTGTACTTTCACGATTGCGCAAGTGCGGAGCCGCACATGCGCGCGCACAGAATCCCTAATCGGAACACTGCATAGGTAATCCTACATAAAGTAAATTAAATTAACCAATTAGGGGAAGGAGCAAAGATTTCTTTGATCTGATTGGCCAAGTAAATCCTGCTGGACCGAATGAATAGGATTTTTGAACGCATTCTCTGTGTGAATGCGTCCTGACCAGTACCAGTTCGGAACGATATAACTAGTTGAAGTGAAGTGTTTTCGTGTTTTCAAATAGTTGTATAAAGATACAAGAAATTATATTCGCAATTCTATTAGCGTATAAATAGCGTGTATTTTGCAAAATAGCGGCAAATTCTGCTAGCTTTTAGAAGGAGATGGCATCGATGCAGGACAGTAAGTTTAGTTTGTTATGTGTCTTTATATGCTACATCTATGATTTATAGGTTAAGGAAATTATTACAAAAGAATGTTTTTATCTTAAAATAAATTTTATATAATTTTATATACTCATTTTTTACCAATGAAATATTTTATCAATTTTTCCTTATTCAAACTTTAATAAAACTAATAAACACTTGGTATAAATTAAAGCTTTAATAATCAATATACACATAAACAAGAATGTCAATAGTAGATAATGATACTTGTATATATAATTTACTTGTATATATAATTTATTTCTCTTTTTAATTCATTTTAATTATACTTCCCTATTTTATTAGTTTTATTGGTTTGAAATAAAAACTAAAACAGATTTATATGTTAATGAAACGTAAATTATAAAAATGACACTCTGTTAATTCAATTTTTATTCTATAAAATATAGGTTTGTTTTGTCAATCACACTTTCATAATCTTTCCAAGTATAATATGTTGATTATTTTGTTATTTATATTTATTATTTGATATATATGAAAAGGTTGCATCTAATTAAATAAATTTAATTTTAGGGCTAAAAATTAAACGTGTAAACTGCGATGCATGGACTACACGGGAACAACTGTGTCTTGCATCGAGCGTACTGAAATCTGGAGATCAAAATTGGATGAGTGTTTCTAGATCATTGAAGCCACTTATCGAAAAAGAATCGTTAAGACCTCCAGATTGGTTCTCGCAAAAATCATGTGCCATGCAATATGCATATTTACTCGAGAATGCCGACACGCCGAAACGAAAGAAACGAGAGAGTGGTGAAACTACCAGTGAATCCATAGTTAGAAGATTGACGCAGGAAAGAATAACTGAATTGAGTCAGATTCTGGCCTGTCAGAAGGATGAGTATCTGCGACTCAAAACGGATATAAACCTGCTCAAATCTGGCACAATAAGCGACGAGAAGCTGGAGAAAATGTGGCTCGAAATACAACAGGAAGAACGCGAATCCGATCAAAAGGCACGGGCTCACATGGCATGGTTGACAAAACGTCAACAGCAACAGAAGCAAGAGATGAATTTGCCTGTCGTCCCGTCTTCAATCATAAGTCAAACTCGCAAACACGCGGAGGGCACGTTGGAAGTGGCGCAGGCGGAGCTCACGTCCGAATCGGCAACGGAGAATGATGACGAGAGAAAGAATAATCGAGGCGGTAGATCTCCGTTGCTGACAAGCTTGTTGAAATCTCCCAGTCCAACCACTCAAACTGTACAAACCTACCCGTCTACTCCTGTCCAAGTGAGCTCGCCGACCATCACCAGTCTACTTGGATCCAATTCGAAAATATTGAACGCCCAATTGGCGCAGAATGTGTCACCGCAATTGCAACAGTTGGTCTCAACAGCGATCGCCAGTGCGAATGCGACACCGCCGCCATCCGTTGGTGCGCCTACACTTTCTATGCTATTGGAAATGCCAGCCACCACACAAAGAGGACCGTTACCGAAATTACAAACAACTACTTCTGTCATGTCTCATGTGCAACAGCAGCAGGCAGCTACGGTTGTAGTCACCACCACCAACACTGAGATGCATAAATTCGAGCAAACGACCCAATCGCAATCCCAGATTCGCCAGATGAATATCCAGAATGAGATGGCGAACGCGGCGACCGTAACGATACCAACAGTAACAACGATATCGGCGGTTGCAACGACGACTTCGGCGCTTACCCCAGTTGTCACTGCGCCGACAAATGTGCCTGTATCGGAAAATATGGTACAGATAATCGATCACATAGACGACGTAATACGCAAGGACATAATGGCAGACGTGATGGATAAGGATGAAATAAACGAGATCATTGGTGACATTGAAGAATTAATTAAGGAAGAGATCACTGGCAGTCCACAAACCCTGGACACAAGCGTCTCGACTACGACGACGACGACCTCGACGGCAGTTATCAGTAATCTCTCAAGCATGTCCCATCAAACAACGGAAATTCCAATAGTGGTTCCAGAACCGAAGCCAGAGCCGAGGGACGTGGATGAGACTGTATCGCTCTCCGATTCACCGCGAAGCGAAATGGCGATCGAAGAGATCGATTCTAGCACCTCGAACATCGCCGAAATCATTGGAACCGTCGCTATAGAGCCGCAAGAACCCAAAATTATTGTCGCAGAAATAACAGAAATTGTATCTAATACATCAGAAGAAATAAAGTCCGAGCCGAGTACTTGCGATGATGAAAGAGTGACTGTAGCTGAGGAACTTGCTTCAGAGTTAGGAACTAACGATGAAGAAAACAGTAAGGATACTCCGATGGAGGAAAAACAACCGGATATCGAAATGAAATCCATGGACGCCGCATCTTCAAACATCGAAGATTCTAAGCTGTCGGATGAAATGAAGGAAACAATGGAGGATACCGTAGTGGAAGCGGAGGTAGAAGAAGAGGACACGGAGAAGGAAGAAACGGAAGTGATCACACATGATGACAAGGAGCTATCGGAGACTGTCAAAGAGCTGAGGGAATCTCCAGAAGATACTGAAGGTAAAGATAATGCAGGATTAGATCAATTAGAAATATATTTGGCGAAAATTACAGGGGATCAGCAGGACGTACCATCCACGGAGGTAGTCAGCGTCTCTTCGGAAATGACGAACGATTTGCCTAGTACCGAAGACACGGAGAAGTCGCAGGATATCAGTCTGATTCTAGAGGACGACGAAAGCAGTCAGAATTCGGAAAACAAGAAGAAACCAATGGCGGAAGAGCAGATTATCGAAAACACGGTCGAAAGTACCGAGTCTTTAGAATCATTCAAAGAAGAATCGATAATCTTAATGAAGGAAAAAATCGTACCGGAAATAAAAGAGGAATCCTTGGTGAAATCACAGGAAGAAGAGGCCATCGAGGAAACACTTGAGATATATACAGATGAATTTAAAAAAGAAGAAGTCAAAGATTCCTCGGAAGATACAACAAACTCCATTTTGCAGGACGTAGAAATAAAGGAGGAAGTCAGTAGCGAGCCAATTAACGGAGCTGAGAACAGTTCGCCTGTGGTAACTGTAGGAACTGAGGAAGTGAAGAGTATTAAGAGTGCACCGATCGAGATTATAACCGATGTGGACGTGAATAGTATTAAAAAAATTGAAAGCGTGGAAGTTAAGCCCGAAGAACCGAAAACCGAAAAGGAAACAGATGCTATCGCTACAGGTGTGTTTTGCGCGAAAAGTCCACTCCCCCCGGAAGAAGAGAAAAAGGAGATTGTAGAGATAAAACAGGAGAAAGAGGACACCAAGAAAAACGTAGAGGGCGAACAAAACATAAAAAAGGAAATAGAGCCCACAGAAGAACCTGGGGAACTAGACGAAGAAGAATCTTCGTTGAGTAAATTGAGTGGCGGACGGGCAATGAAGACGTACTCCAAGAAGCAAAACATTGCTGTGGACAGCGAACCGGAGAACGAAGGCACGGGCGAGGGCGCAGATTATCGCGCCTGGAAGAAAGCGGTTATGCTCGTTTACAATCGTTTGGCCACGCACAAATACGCGTCAGTATTCCTCAGACCGATCACGGAAGATCAAGCGCCTGGGTATCATTCGGTGATTTTCCGACCGATGGATCTGTCAACTGTCAAGAAAAACATTGACAATGGCACGATCAGATCGACCATGCATTTTCAGAGAGATGTCATGCTTATGTTTCAGAACGCCATTATGTACAACAAACATGATACGTTTATCTATAAAATGGCAGTTTCGATGCAGGAAGAATGCTTGCAACATATGCAGGTAAAGAAAATACATTAATATTTATTAATATTAATCATATAAATGGTATTTTTTCGGTAGCAATTATATACATATAGTTGAACGGATTATTTAAAGGCGTACACTAGAGAATCATCAAGCAGAGCAAAAGCAATTCCACGTACATAGTGCTAGTGAAAATATTTTTAAATAAAAACAGAAGATTTAATGCTTTTAATATAATCTGATATAAAATTCATTTTAAAATGCACATTGTAGATTGTATTATTTATGCATACTTCTTATAATATCTTATACACATGTGATTAACACATGTCTTATACACATGTGATTAATACACATGTTATTAAATACCATTAATAATTATGTGATCGATTTTAGATATTAGTACAAGTAACAGGAGAGGGAACCTTTCGAAGGGAGACCAGAACTGCTACAAGCAGTAGCAGCGAGGCAAGCGAGAGTAGTATTAAGCGAAAACGGAGTCACATCACTCCGAGCCCTCATGATACCGACACTCCACGTTCGAAAAAACGTAGAAAATCCGAAAACGATTAAATTATATTAATAAGTTACATATGAAATATAAAGATTTGCGTTTGTATCTAAAATATTGGAAATTAAGACAGATAATACGGAAGAGAGAAAAGGTAAGAGACGTTTTAGACATTGAAAAGTCTGTATTGATATCGCTTGTGATTACATAAGCGATATTCGAAACATATAGGAAAAGTTTGTGATATAATTACTTTACACAATTATTATAAGCTGAATTTAATTTTCCTATTTTAATTAATTATAAAATATTACTTAATTTTTATAAAATAAGTAAAATATTTTATAATTAATTATAAAATATTTTAGTTACTTTAGAATTTATTATAAAATTGCAATATTTATGTGACAACTCTGACAGCTATATAAAATGTTTAAATATTACAAAATTATTAATTTGAATTTGATTCTTTTGTTAATTATCTCTTTTCTTTATCTTTAAATATATTAATGATTACAAAGATGAAAAGATACATTAATGATCACAACGATGAAAAGATAAATATAATATAAAGATAAGGTAATCTTACTGTCAAAAGTTTCAGTTGTACATTTATGATTCTTGCAAATATATAATAGAGATTCAGAATAAAATCAATGCATTTTATGGAATTAATGTAGTATTTAAGTCAGTCATCCGACAAATGCAAATGTGATCGCGCAGTAACTTGACATAAATGCTATAAATTACGAAAAAAACACTACACATCTCGTTTTTGTATATAATTAACTAATTGTTTATTCGATTATATCTTGAAAATTTACTAGTACATTTAAATAACTGTAAAATACGACATATATCGTGCATCATATGTATAATTACAACTTGTATGTGTGTGTGTGATTTATGTACGTATGTAATTTTAAACATGGGTTATTATTGTGCTTGGGGAGATGCGAAGATAATGTGTAGTTCTGAAGAAGAAGGTTATGAATATCATGTTTCGGATGGCAGAGAAAAGAGAAGAGATCACTTTTCGGAGACCTTCAATGAAACTGTAAGCAAAATAGCAATGAAAACGAATATATGAGCGAGGATTATTGGATCTAAAAACGCTGTCATATTTCAAACGCCAATTGGATTATTGTATGTGTTAACATATTCATAAATTTTATAAAAATTTATTTTGCGGAGATAATGTTGCAAAATGATATTCAAGCAACAGATGACAATCTTGATTGCTTTCCAAAGAACCAAAATTGTATACTTTCGATTTAATCGGATCAAAATGTAATTTCTAACATTACACAGTGTTACGTATAACTAGCATGTAATCCGTAAAATTGTACATTAATCCCGTATTTAAAGTCTTCCGGTACAGCTTTACCGATATCAAATGATGCCGATCGACAATTCTGGGCGGAGGACGAATTGAGCAACGCCTCGGAATCGCGACAAAGATTAAGCGTGAAAAGGAAGCGTCGACTTAGTGTCTCTTATAGAAATCGCACCGCGAACAGAAGCCAATCTTGCGCTCCCAATTCCTCAAGTTCTAGCTCTGATTCGATTTATGCAGAAATTTCGCCGAAAGGTATATATTTATCCCTTTAAAATTGTTTCACATTAGAATATATTTCTCCGATCACTCATTATTTTAAATTTTTAAAGTTGTGAAATTGCATGTGCTTCACCCAGAGAATATCTCCCTTGTATTGTTTTAATATGCGCTTTAATCGGTGACCAAACATGCCAATTTTAGAATCGATATGCAATTATTTGCAGTTTGCAAAATGCGAAAATATTGTCGGCGACAGGCATTGAAAGCAAAAAAAATACAATCCGTCAATGTAGAAAAAAAATCAAGTACAAGTATCGAGGAAACAGCCTACACAATGAATGAAGTATTGTCTCCGGAATGTCAAGCTGCATCTACTTCTAATAAAAAATCTGCTAGTTCGCAGCCAAGATTTGAAAATCAGACGAACTTGATGCGTAGAAATCATCGTAAACGAGCGAACGATTCGACATGTGCGAAAAAAATCGAATTGCAAAAGACGCGCGGTCCATCTAAGTAACATTTATAACGTTCCACTGATTAAACTAAGAAATTTTTTTCACAAAAAAGTAAGTTCTAAGAATTCTTTATTCTATTATTTTATTCTATTGTCGTTGATTATTTTGAAGAAAAACTATAAATTTATAATTTTTAAAATTTTCTGAGAGTTCTTTCTATTATTTTACTCAATCGTCATTATTTTAAAAAAGAATTATAAAATATTAATATATAAAATTTATAAAATTATTTGAGTTCTTTGTATTATTTTACTTTGTAAATTATTTTAAAGGAAAAACTATAAAATTATAATTTTAAAAATTATCAGAATTTTTCTTCTCTCAATCCACGATTGGTTCATCAATTTTTGAACATAAATAATTTACTTTTATATATTATTTTTATTTTCTTTAAATGAGATGCCATATGAATATAGTAGAATCATCTTTTTTTTTATTTTTGTTTTGTCATGCCCGCCAATCGCTTTATCGCAACATGGGACGGAAGTTTTGATTATTCGAGCTGTCATTTGTTTGACGCGCAAAAAGAGTGACGAATACGCGTGACATTCGCGACGTTGGTCCCATCGAACCGGGAAAACATCTTTGACGACGATGAACTATTTCGTGAGCAACAATTGGGGCAAGAATCAGTATCAGAATCTGAACGATGCCCATACACGAAGCAGTGAGTTATACAACAATTCATGATGTGTCAAAAAAATGCGTACGACATCACGTCTTTTTGCCTTACTCGTCTCGATCTTGATCAAATTTCGTTTTAATCTGAAATGGACATTTTCTCGCAATTATCTTTTCTTTCTCAATTAATGCGAATTACCTTCTCTATGTGGGTTATATCGCCGGTAAGGAAACATGCCGCTATCTTTGCCGGGAAATTTCCTGTCACGTGATTATATTTTGATTGGCATTTGTATGTGATTCAAGTTATAAATTTATTTATTGAGACTCCTATTTTATGTTATTTTTACATTTGTACATTTCACATTTATACAGGTTTTAATTCTTCACAATCTAGTATGATTTTTCCTGCTGACAAATTGTTTTTTTTTCTATTGCAGCCTCAACAGTCCGTTTTATTTTCTGTTGCATTGCATTGGGTCTATGTTCAACACTATTGATACTCTCGTTATGGAATCCTAATACATATATTCCAACAATCCGTACATATGTATTGCACTTGGACCGACGACAACCTCTTCTGCATACTATTTCTGATAAGTTTTTATCATTTGGTCTTGATACATCTTTACTTCGAACAATGAACGAATTGCCTATTAAACAAGAAAAGTTTATCAATTTGGGCCGTCACTTGAGTCCTGCTTATGTTAGAGTGGGTGGAACATCTGCTGATTGCCTGATATTTGATCAGAATCAGGTTAGTTCGCAAATATATTTCTCTTTTCATAATATAAAATAATTTCATGAGTTATTATTATACTATTGAGAGAAATTTATTCACCTTCTCTATTCACTATTTTTTAAATCAGTATCTATATTTTAAGTAATTAATTGCTACAAGAAATCTATTTATAATCTTAACTTGCCGAATGCATTTGATAATTTAGATTGTGCAAAGCTCATCTGAAAAGATTCTCAGTCCTGTAGATGGCCAAGACATCAGCAATTTTACCATCACTGGTGCAGACTTACTCGCTGTTTATAATTTTGCAGTAAAGTCCAAGTTGCGAATGATTTTTGATCTGAATGTATTGCTCAGAAATCCAGATGGATCTTGGAATGACACTAATGCACAGGAGATTATCACTTTTGCTAAAAATCAAGCTATGGAATTAGATTGGCAATTGGGAAATGGTAAGCAAGTATAACAAATGTAGAATTAATATATGTAAAAAAATGTGTACATATAATAACTATAATGCATAAAATTTCATATTATTTATTTTCAACATTTCAGAACCGAATTCCTTTAAACACGTATTCAATGTGACGATCTCCGCAAATGAACTTGCAAAGAATTACGATCGTTTGAGACAATTATTAGATGAAGCGGGATACGTCGATAGCATCCTCGTCGGACCGGAAGTAAATCACGTCGGAGAGCAGAATCATATAGGAGAAGAATATGCCAAAATATTTCTGAGGAGTCAAAGCAGTACTGTGAATTATGTCACGTGGCATCAGTATTATCTGAATGGGCGAGAAGCTATAGTTAAAGATTTTGTAAATCCTCTCATATTTAACTGGTTACCGGCACAAATCAAGTCCTTAGGGGAATTCATTGCTGCATCAGGGAAAAATGTTTCCATGTGGCTATGTATGTATTTTATACATTAGGGAGAATTGGGAAGTTCTCTTTTTCTTCGAATATATCTTATTCTTTTGCTTTTCGACTTTTAGTTCTATTTTCAAAGAATTATTTTTTTAAATACTGCAATAATTATACAATTTCTAGATATATAATTATTTTTAGATATTTATTTAGATTTTTATATATAATTATTTTCTAAGGCTGCAGCAAACGTTTTATTTTTTTAATCGCAATCGCATTTAATGAACGCGAAAAGTTATATGCAATAAAAGATATAAAAGATGTATGTGACAGCGGAAACCAGCACTGCGTATGGAGGAGGAGCACCCGAATTATCCGACAGATTTGTAGCTGGATTTCTGTGGTTGGATAAATTGGGCTACAGCGCTAGCGCGGGATTGAACGTCGTCACTAGACAGTCGCTATTTGGCGGAAATTATGCTATGGTATCGCCGAACCTTACGCCAAATCCCGATTGGTGGGTCAGCATCTTTTATAAGCAATTTGTATCAGAGAAGGTCCTGAAATTGATCACGTCGAACAATTTCGGTTACGTGCGATTATACGCACATTGCACGCCGAAGGAAGCTCGGGTCGCCAGAGTACCAGCTGTCACAATCTACGGAATGAATATCGACAAAATCGCAGTTCATATAAATATTCCAGAATTGTTTGTACAATCTGGTGAAATGATGAAAATATTTTTTTACTCTTTGACCGCTGACAATCTTCAGTCGAGGTATGTAAAATAAAAAAATTAATTTTCTTTTATAATGAAATACGTGTGATTTCTTATAAATTTTATCTCTTCAATATGAAGAAATTGTATATTATACATTATTATAAACTGAAATTTAAAAAGTAACATCTAATTAAAACGTTAAATGTTTTATCATAAGAATAAAAAAGTCTTTATAAACAAATCTTAATAATTACTACTTTTATTTGCAGTGAAATAAAACTAAATGGCCAAGTGTTGAAGCTGCAATCGAATGGAGACTTACCGCCATTTCAATCTATAATATTGGATCCTACGGATCCTGTGATCTTACCACCGTATTCTATGGTATTTATGATAGTTCATGGTATTGATATTCCAGTCTGTGAATAAATTCTCAAAGAATACCACGAATTTCAATTTTACGCGACGTTTTTATTTTGTATATACCTTTCTTATACATTATATTAAAGATTTATATATATATATATATATATATATATATATATATCTGGTATATAGTTTATATATTACATATTTTTACAAATTCTTATTAACAAATAAGCCGTTTATACAAGCGTGAGTACTATTTTCTGAAGGCGCGCGGTGTTTCTTCAGAATTTTATCTGTCTATTGTATAACAGTTTTTCAGTTTATAATTGTTTCACTTTATCGCTTTTCTCAGAGACAATAAGTATTACAATGCGCAGTACAAAGGAACAGTCAATAGTATTGCACGCAACTGTAAATATATGGTTACACAAAATTCTTTTTCTATTACATGTATGATTAATGTTTTACATTTCTTGTTTGTCTTTATTTGGTGTATATGGTATACATTGTGCTATCTTAATTCATTCAAACAATTTTCATAAATCTCTCTAGATATAATATACACTAAATACCACAATGAGAATCTCATAATCATATCATACAGGCAACAAACACGCAAATATTAAATGATATATGTAAATATCGAAATTAAGGATATCGTACAACGGAATGATATTTATACATCGAGCAAAATTCTTTGTAATGAATCTAGCATTATCATTACTATTTTTTTTTGATAAAATATTTTTTGTAACGATATAACACTCAAATCGGGGAATTAAATATTCGGATCGTGATTGTTTTTATGAACAATCGACATGAGATATACTATGACGTGATATCTGTATTATAATAGATTTCGCACGAGTACTTAATACTTACAATTGTATTATGAAGAGAAGTCTCCATATTATACCTCTACTCCGCGGAAGAGATCGTGATAGTTTTTCCTTTAGGATCGTCAAATCTATCCATTGTACGGATATCCAAAATCATAGTAAGCGCCCATATCATAATTAAGGCCAGTATCGCAGTCACGAATATTCCCGTCCAAATCGGTATACTAGTGAAACCAACGCAATCGTACGCATCACTAAATACCGCATTCTTATGATCGACTTCGACTTGCATGTCCGTGATATTTAAACGTACGGGACCGTTAGTGAAGATGGTTTGCAATGAACAATGATAAGAAAAATTATACGGGAAACAAATGTCCCGTTTGCTCGACAAAACGCCGTTCTTGCCGCCTTTTGTTTCGTAATTGACTTTATCCAATGTATAATAGCCCATGTATTTGATCGGAAAGAAGAAATCGAGCGTCAACTCTTCAATGTCCTCGATATTAGAAAAATTGATGGTTAAAATCAGTGTACCATTCTGCTCCTTACGACTTGATCCTGTGGCTTTGGATCCAGGAAGCTCTAAATTCTTATCTGGATTTTCAGGTGCCTGCAATGATAATATAACTTATTTTGATAATAATTATGTAAGTTTTTTCATTGATAATGTAATGTTTCTCTTAATATTTTTAATAAATTCCTTTTTTCAATTGCTTTTAATGCATAAAAAATTTTAAAAGAAAGACTTCATAAAGTCTTCTAAAATTTATTATAGGACTAATTGCATAATGTAACATTTAACAACTTCTTACCTTGAAAGATAGTGATTTACTGGAATAGAACAAAATTTGATCTGTTTTTATCTTAAACTCAGTATCCTCTTTAGTAGCTTCCCTTTTTATGCGTTCAGTTTGACTGTAACGGCACTGTTTTCCTGTAAGCGCTATGCACTCGCTTGAATCTGTATCCTTTAAAACCATGTTTAACTCATGATCATCGTTTATATCTTCTATCGTTCTTATCTGTTTGTCGCTATAGAGTTTTTGAAAACTCGTATTCGGTTCGAAAACACACGGCAAATAATACAATCTCGAGCCATTGCTGGCGGTTGATAGCATCTACAACATTCATATAGCAATTTTATTTCTATAAGCAAATAATATACTCTCTTTTTAGTAAAAAGGATTGGCAGGAAAGTATATTTCCAAGGGAAATATGGATTGGCAAGCAATGAAATTTTTATCTAACCTTGTTATTTCTCAGATCCTCGACACACAATTCTTCGGCGACGACGATCGTTGGATTCGTCACGACCAACTGTGACAGGATCTCCTCGAATTCCTCCGATGACAGTTTCTGTAACGGATTCGGGTGTACTGTTTTCAACGGCGAATTGTGATCGGACGATTCGTTGTGCGAGCACCATATCACGACGGGCGTACCGGCATGGGAAAGCGCGATTTGACAGGCCACGATCAGCACGAGGAGCGGCGCGTGGAGCGGACTCGCTTTTCTCGCACTACCTGTCATCGTAAAGCCGAATTTTTGAAGCGACTCGAGCCAAGCACGCAGATCGAGAGATCACTACACGGACGCGAGCAGAAGGCACTCCAAAGCACCTGACTACCACCTCGTGATCATATGATGTGAGTCACATGGTCGATGCATTTCCGGATTTTAAAAGAGCGTTACACACTTGTCATAAGATATCTTGTTATAAAAGTCACATGAATAATCTTTAATTGATGAAAGATATAAGGAAAATTCCCCTCTTCAAGGACTTTTCTTATTCATCTTTTATGGATTTAATAATAATAATTAAAAATAATAATAATTTTATGGATTTAATAATAATAATAATAATAATAATAATAATAATAATAATAATAATAATATGCTTCTTTATAAAATTAAAATTTCTTTTTATAAATCGATTTTTTTGGTCATTTTATGAAAAAAAATTATTTTTATTTTTCATACTTGTTTAAATATGAGATTTCTATTTCCGTCAACGCTCTTGGAGGCATTATTAATGCTTGCTATAATGTTAACGTTGTCGTATGTTTAGCGATTATTTCAGGATAATCGCATTTTGAAATTGTGAATTTTGACTTATTTCAGAGCAGTTTGTTTTTTGAAATTATGTTTATGTATATATTTTCTCTCTTCTTGGACATAAAGAACGTTATGAAATTATTATAAGCGATTATGGCTAATATTAGAAGCGAAAAGAAGACCGAAGCCGTTATATATTCTGTAAATCTCGCTAAGTATATTTGAATTTATATAATTTGTCATTTACATCAATTAGATACAAGATTAATAAATTAAAAATTGTTTATTGTGATCCTAAGAGAACAATTTTATTCAAGAACAAAATTCGAAACTTATTTGAAAAACGATTTATGATCTTGTAATCTGTTATACATAATACATTCCCAGGTAGCAAGATGACGTCTCCAGACGTCTTAATGACGTCATTAAAACGTTATTAAGATGTCATTTGACGTCACTTTGCTACCTGGGTTATTTATATATCATTATAATAATTATATATCTATTCCATCTAGCAATTTCAATCATGGAGCACAGTCGGTGTTCCGTCATGTATGGAACAAGTTGCTGATTCTCCAGTTTCAGTCAGAATTGAAGAATTTCACAAAACCCCGAGGTCTCATCCTTGGCGCCCTATGCTTGGATACAAAATTCTGGAAGCAGCTCCCTTGTAAATAATTTTTTATCTCTTCAAAAATTGAAAAAATATATATAACTTTTTATTTAGTAAACATTTCATACTATTTTTCATAAGAAATTAATTTTTAAACAATTAAATACCGTTAATGTTTTTTTTATCATTTATTTGATTTCTCTTATTTAATATAATTATTATTTAAAAGTAATTAAAATTTATGTAAAATTAATATTAAAAATTAATGATTTAATTAATAAGAAATTCATTGATATAAATTTAATTTTAAAAAAATCATTATGTTGTTTCAGCAGAGAAAAGTTTGATACAAATATTTCTCTTATTTAAAAAAGGTAATCTGTCTTCTGCATAGGTTCGCACAACCCGTAACGAATTTGATGATGGATGCTGATCGCATACCACATGGAATGACGACGAAGCCTTTGAAATTTCCGAATTTAGTAACTAGTTTCGATCGTAATCCTTTGCACGCGGCACGAGCTGCGCTTTGTATGCGATACACTCCCTATGATTGGAAGCAAAATCAAATCAGACTCTACAATGAAGTGGATGCGAATAGATGCTCTTCCGAAAAATTACGCAAGGACAGTGTACGCCTAATAAGGTAGGCAAAACCTTCTTCAAAATGTGATATTTAATGTATTCTTTTTAAATCAAATGAAACATTCATAGACTTTTTAATATTAATATTTATTTAATATCTCTATTTTTTTAAGGAGAAACTTACAAATTAATTATTAATTTTATATTTTAAAAGATTGAAAATATTTTATACAATAACTTAAAAAACTTCAAAGATGCCAGCAAATAAATAAAACAGAGTAATTAAGGTTGACCACAACTGGCAATTTTAATTCGAAATCAAAATTTCACTAAAAAATTGTGAAATTTTGATTTCGAATTAAAATTGCCAGTTGTGGTCAACCTTAATTACTCTGTTTTATTTTATACAATATCTAATTCAAGGATCTTCTCATGTATGTAAAATAATAACTTATTAACAAAGCATAAATTTATTAACTTTTGATGTAACTGATCCATCCAGTTTTTTTTTAAGTTTTATATATATAAATTAAAATTTTTCTTTAAAACTAAAATCTCAATTTAATCGAAGAGTACTTTTACACATAAAATATACTATTACTATTATTATTATAAAATATACTACTTGCTGTCTATTATAATTATTTATTTCAGAGAAGTTGATGAAAAGATACAAAAGAAACAAATGAAGAATGATCAAAAAGGAGAGAATATCACTTCCTGGCGGAACGAAGTAGCATCGGAGTTGGAAAGATTAATTATAGAAGACGATAGATTACAAGAATGTCGTCATAATTTGCAAATTGCGATTCAGAATCTCGAAGGACAATTACATATCGCACAAGAATGTCTCTATCATCGAGAGTCGAGAAAAGGTATTTTGCTTTATATTGGAACATAACAAACTTAGTTACTAAATATAATTTGCAATGTGATATAATGATTGCAATTTTAATGAAATTAAAAATAAACAATCGATATAAAAATATTCATTCTCGAATAAGAGTTTAATTCCTGTGAAATTGTATTGTGTTTAAGACTTATACGCTTATTAATGTTATAGATACTGACTTAGTTCATGATGAAGTCGAAAGCGCTCTGTTGAAAGAGATTGAAACGATAAGAAATTGTGAGACAAAATTAGAACAGATCACAAATAGATGCATCAATCAGGTATGTCATATGCTTGCGAATAATATATGACACTAATTTTCAAAAATTCATTCTATCGCATTTTTCAATTGACAAATGATCAAACGATACAACATCAGCTGCAAACAAATATATGCAAAAAAACAGCATTGGGAATCGATGTATGCCATCATATAAATGATTTTAGTCGAAACCTACAATGTTATAGTGAAATAAAAAAATACGATCCTAGGTAATTTATAAAAAATGTTTTACGCATAAACGGATGTAGTATTTAGAAAAGAGCAGAAAACAAAAATAAAAGAAAATTTCATTATATAATTCGATATAGTACTATAAGATATAATTTTTAGATAAAAGCTAATATCTATTTTCATAATTGTATACATTTAAAAGAAGATCCATTCTTCTTTATTTACTTCACTACTTTCCTCGAGTATCCTTTTACAGTATCACCGAGATTGGATCTTGGACGGAAATGGCAAACAATATAGTGATGAAATCGGAGGCAGAACGTGTGATATCAAGTCAATTACGAAGCGACATCGATACTGTCATGAACACTGTGAACTACGAGATGTATGAAGCTTGGGAAAATACCAATAAGGCGTTGAACAGAAGAGTCATTGAATTATTGGAAGCGAAGGAAAAACTACAATCATATTTGCATAAAGTAGTAGCACAAGAAATTAAAATTACAATAAGATTATTCAAATAATATGAAAGATATTTAAGAAATATATGAAAGATATTATGCGAAGTTTGTATAACGTCTTTAAATATTTATATCGTTCTTATGTGTTAAAAGTTCAATCTATATTGGAGTTTAGATTCAAGAAGAAATTTTAAACATCGAAAAGAGTATGAAACTAATACAAAAAACAATCGCCGATTTAGAGATTCTGAAAGTTGCAAATACACGAAATTTGGATACCAAACTTTACCGTTCGGAAGCTGAACAATGCAAGAATCATACTCAATTCAGGTTTGTCACAATTATTTACATATACATCTATTAAAACGATAATATTTGGTTGTTTTGTAGGATAAATAAAGAAGTGAAGGATATTAATAAAATAATATACGATATGAATTTGAAATTGCAACAATGTAAGGCGCAACATCAACAACTTTTGCACACAAAGTCTAATTTGGAAAGTGATTTAAAGTTCAAAACAGACGTACTCTTCATCGATAGAGACAAGTGCATAGGTCTTCGAAGAAGTTATCTGACTTCGATTACAAAATTTTAAAATGCTTACATATTGCAGGTAGATATATAAAATCTTTGCAAATTTTAAAGAAACATTGATTGGAAAGATATTCAACTAATTGTTAAATTAATAAAAACTGAAACAAGATCATTGAAAGAGAAATACACAATTGTGAACAATTATCTTTATTGTCAAGTTACAAATTAATGTCTTTAGGCAAAGTATAATATTATCTATTTATCCATACAAATATCTTATAATACAACCAATATCTCAAATCTATTCAATTTATGATTTTGTACAGTTTTTCTCATTATACAACGTAGGACTTTAAGTATTTCATTGTGAATGTAAATTGCACAATGCTTTTAGGAACATTCACAAGTGATATACCATACATAGTAGTTTCTTTAATTTTTCTCTAACTAATAGAAAGATTAATAGAAATTAATATATTACATATATTATATATATATATATATATATATATATATATATATATATATATACTATATAATATATGCATATATAAACTAAATATTCATAAATATATATTATAATACATATATACTATATATCTCTATAGTTATATGTATTTAACACATACGATAACATCGTTTTACAAAAGACCATTTGTGTTGAAAATATGTCAATAGATTCTATAAAAGATATAAAAAAATATTGAAGATTTTTTTTGATTGCGCAGGTCATCACATTTTAGTTCACATTTTTAGTCCATTTAAAAGCTGCTATAGTATTATATACGCTTTTCGCTATCACCTCTTTGTCGTAATCTTCCTTCAAGTAAAACATTTTAATGTTTTCTTGTATGTGACATTCTAAGACATTCCACTTTTCAAAAAGTTTGAGGGAATTTTTTATCGGATCGACAGATAAACTCTCTCCTATTATAATAAGAAAAAAAATATTATCTCATGTGAAAAAAAAATCTTTTTTTGTTAACAATTTCAAAAAGTTACATTGGTATATCATAAAAAATTTATGTAAAATGCAAAATTGCAATTAACAGAATTTTACAATATACATTTATATTTGAATCTAATTGAGATTATTAATCTTTATAAATATTTTTACTCACCATAATTAACTATGCCTCCGTCCAAATTAGTTTTGATTTCGCTCAATATTTCTTGGACTAAATCTCGCTCGCAAAGCGAACGGCCGACTAGCTTTATCAAATTGAAAGCGCTACATGTATACGTATCGATTAATGGTCGTAATGCCATATGTAAGAATTCCATATAACTCGAGTGTTCTGGATTTAAGCTCAGCTAAAAATGATTAAAAATTATATAAAATCATTCTTATATAAAGTGCATTACAACTGAATATTATTTATCCGTATATTTGTAAAAATTTAAAAATTTATATAAATAATTAAAATATTATATTTTTAACAAATAATAATATATAGAATGTCAAAAATGTTAGTTAATGTTATTTCAATATTAGAATGTTATATACAACTATTATTCACACATAAAAATATTACCAATATTTAAAAAATTCAATTTACTTTATATTTAATGTTGCAGATTTTTCGTTCTCTCTCATATTCTTCATCCGAGCTGTCATCAAAATTTTTCGCGTATCTTTTACTCCAAAGCTCATCCTCGAGATATGCTTTCTGTCAAAATCATTTTTTTTTTTAATATTGATCCAAGGGAAAATATTTATTTATCGAAATATACAGAACATACCTCTTGTTTGTCGATAATGCCTTTATGCGTGAATTTATATATCGTTTCAAGAATTATATCTTCGAGTTCCTGGCAAGGCCTGCAGAAAATAAACTCGTATCTCAAAATGTCGCATAATTTTAGTACTCGATTAACCAAACTATCTTGGAGCACTGTAATATTGTTCTCGGCAATCGCAACCGGATCGTTAATTTGTGACTGCAATTCAGCATACAAAGCAGTTACTGAAAATATAATAATAGGTTTCGTTACGGAATCAAAATGACTTGCCGATTATATTAATCATCTTACCTACTACGCTATCCATAATATAATATAATAACATAGTATTGCTGTAGTACGACAATTCAATCACATTTGGCAAAATTGATACAGGACGGATTGCGGTAACAACGTTTGACTTGTAAGACTGATTGCCATCAAGAGATTCAGTGATTTCTTGTCGCTGTTGCATCACTAAGCCAGGACCCAAAATATCCAGCTATATAATTCAACGATTGATAAATTTATTATTTTTTTTCTACAGCTATTACAGTTTTATCTATTGCCTACTAACCGCGTGTTTAACAATATCAATATTTTCTCCGCAAAATGCTATATCCATATTATTAAATTCCAGCTCTAACCGTATCGATTCGAATGCTTCGATCAATTTATCTAATGTACAACCGTCTCTAAACCTATTTAATAATAAAAATGCAACAACGTTGGTCGACATGATCGGTGTGGATTGGGACGAATCTGAAAGTGGTTATAAAAATAATATCCAGATTAGTAAAAAATTATTTTATAAGAGAGTAGAAAGAATAGAGAATTACATTTTGATTTAATTCTATGAAAAATCAATAATTTAAATAATATTAATTTGTAATTAATAAAAAATATATCTAAATGATATTTAATTCATAATATTTAATAGTTTATTCAATTAGGATTTTCATGCTAAAATCGACAAAACTCTACAATAATCATTTCACTCACCATATACAACATGTCGGGCGATATTATCCACCAATTGACGATGTTCTTCCACAATGACATCTGTACCATAAATAGACGAGTTCGACATAGTATATTTTAAAGTTCGTTTTGGCGATGATCTATTTTGCTGAGCTTGAAAGGTTTTTATCATTTCCTGTCGAAAATTTTTTCCATATAATAATTCTTATAATAACAAATGTGGTAAATTTTTATTTAGCATATTATTATTAATTCATAATTGTATAATTATCTCACCCTAAGGGAAAACGGTTGACAGAAATCAATCTTAACGATACCGTAGTGACCCATGAGTGTCGACCACATAGCTTTTATTGCCGAAGTAAAAGTTTCCATTTTTTTCGGCTGTCCCAATTGTTCCCTAATGAAATTTCCATCCACCAATCGTTCATAATTCATCGCTATCGGAATCAACAATGCATCCTCGATTGTGCCATCCATGTACGCATCGACAATGACACTCAGAATACCATTCTTTGGCATGCAAGGTTTGCCGGTTCTCGTGCGGCCACCCTCCACAAAGAATTCCATGTTGTGTCCGGCACGAAGATTCTCCATGATGTATGTTTGAAGAATCGTGCGATAGAGATGATCCTTGCGTCCCGCTATCGGATCGATACGACGTTTAATGAAGAAAGCGCCCAAACCTCTCAGCAACCATCTGATAGCATCGATTGATGTAGAAATGTGTTTCTTAGAAACGTTAGATAACTATTATATGAATAAGAGATTGGTATTAGATTTTGAGCTTACCCAAAAAATGGAATCTTCAAATTGTCTCCTGCTGCAATTAATGGATTCCTTATGTTATTCGTGACCATGAGAAAACTGATCATTATATAGTCTAGATGGCTGCGATGAAGCGGTAGGAGCACTAGCGGTAGACCGGTGTCATTTGCCTTCTTCAACAATTCTATTTGTGAGGGCAACACAACGGCGGATTGTATAAAACAAGGCAGCAGTTTATATATCAGCCATGCGACTATCTTAAGCAAGACGTCGCTGCATCTGCTCTCCATTTGCAGTAGTATGTCTTTGGCCCTGACTTTCGTCTTTGCAAAGGCCTTCTCCTCACTGCAACCTTCATTATTAACTGTCTCCCAGGCAGTTAATTTAATAGCGTCTTTCAATCGTTCATCATTCAGGATCTACAAGATGTACAGCGAGAATATGACTCTTTGACAATAATAAAATTTTTTCTTTTGAGATAAAGATTTATGAAATCGAAACTTACAGTCTTTGTGACCATTGGATAATCATATCTGTTGAAGCTCGAGACATGAGATACACAATTGAATATCCTTGAGAAAAACGTTGGACCTGGTTTTATCAGTAGTATGTTCAGACCAAAGGGATGCAATTTATCACGTACAGCAGTTACTAACGAATCCTATCAAATAAATAGTAAAACATACTTATCAAGATTACAAGATTGAAAAAATCATATGTACAAGTTTATATTATATATATACATACAAGTTTATATTATATGTTTTATATATATACATATATAATACAGATAAAACATATAAGATAATGTGAGAGAAAGCAAGGAAAAAGTTGAAATTTATTTTTTAAGATATTTCGAAACGATTTTCCGGTTACTTTATAATTCTTCTACCTCTTTTATTTCCCTAATTAAAAATTTTGAAAATATGGTAAAATTAATTAGCTTGTTATCCCAACTCACATTTCTTGGATATCCACGAACGATTATAATACGCCACCATCGTGATATGAATCCACGTGGTTGCTCGCACATTTCTTTTACCATTATAAAATCAAATATATATTTAATATAAACATTGCCACTATTATTATACCATGACAAAATTTCTCGTGATTTGTAAATTTATAGATATATCGATGCTTTTCCATATTTGAAAACATAATTTTCTATATTAATTTTCTGATTAAATCATAAAGTCTTCATCCATTATCATTATCGAGATAATTAATTATAAGAAATATAAAAAATCAAAGTCATTTAAAATATTTTATAGACACAGCAAAAGTGTAACATTCATTAACTTGAAATGTCACAAAAATAATAGATCTTCTTTAACGAGTCTCGCTTTCTTTTCTCAGATTTTGTTTCGCAGAGGAATTTAAGTTACCATCAGGGCAAAGCTCACGCATCGATGCGCACATATGTGCGTGATAATTGCTCTTATCCGAGGACAAATAACTAATATGAAAGAAGATGATGAAATTATATAATTAAACGTGTGTCAAAAGGACACATCTTTTAACTAAGTAATGAAGATATAATAACTGCGTGTATCTCGCAAGAGCACTGCTGATATTTTACGCCCAATCATATAATTCTGATCTATTAATACAAATACTGATGAAATGTTGTTAATGCAACAGTCATGTAATGATGCGTCATATCACAAATGACGTTACAAACATACGGGCACGCGTTTCAGATAAATTGGATGACAAAACTGTTCAAAGAATTTTGTCTTGAAATCTTTAGAGGCGGTTGATCTTTAAATGATTTATTTGCGTCGTCGTCCCTTGTCGTTGCTCTTATATAGTTTCCCTAGTCGCGCATCAAAAATAGATCACGATCGTGGATGTGAAAACGAATGAAACATCTTACAAAAGCTGTACCGATAACGCGAGTTAACGGTTAGTGAATTCTTCTAAAAAATGTGACTGCGAAAAGTCACAAAACAGATACGCGAAACTCGCAATTCCGCGTGATTACAAGACTAAGAAACGTCACATCTGGCTAAACGATTTCGACTAAATTTATTTTTAGTGCCGTTCACATCGTCCAATGATATACAGAAACCTTTCTTGTGATTTTAAATAACGACGAAAGCATGCGCATGTCTTCTCTTACGTGCATTTACAGTTGCAATAATTATCCGATATAATGAATATAGATTTCACGAGTAAATATAATGAATATAGATATAATGAATATAGATTTCACGAGTAAATATGTAATGAATCTTTGCGTAAACAAAATTAATTACTTCGATTTGAATTTTAAATAATATTAAGTTTTCTAAAAAACCTTAGCATGAATAATAATAAAATAATCCTCTGCTTTTTAATATCTTAAATAAATATCGACTAAATTCTGATTAATAATTGAATCTATAAAGCAAATATTTTATAAATATATAATTATAACTTGTAAATATATCTATTAGTTATAAAATATTGCATGTTATCAGATATTTTCAAATTGTAATGCATAAAAATAGAATGAAATTTAATATAGAATAAATTACATATATAATATGCTTCAATAATTAAGATAATTCTCAGTGATTTTTAAAGACTTATTAGAAATTTTAATCGATATAGCTCAAGGTAAGTCTTTATATCTACTTCGCTGCGTTGTACCCTTCAATTTTATGCATCGACGAACAATGAATCGACGGCAATCAAACTCGGAGCAACGAGATCACCGATATTTAACGATAAATTCGGTAAGTTAAAGCGACTACGCCACTTTAATTCAACGGATCCCGTGCACGCCCACACGTAAAATTGCAACAGACTAGATTGGCAATGAACACGCGAGAAGATGTCGATGATTGACAAATCGGTCGGGTTTGCGTGGCTAGTCGAGATGATAAAAGGCAGCGTTAAGTATGCGTTAGGCGTACAAAAACGTACTCTGGAAGCGGGTGTGCAACTGTTACAGCAGTATTGCAGGAACGAAAATTGTTGTCTGGTCTGTGGAGGTACCGGCTCACTCTCCTTAATCCTGTACAATGAGGAATCGCGTAGCTTACGCCAATCCTCCCTCTCTTGGATCTTGCTTCGTCGAAAATTTTGCGCGGCTTGCCGGAGACCTGTAATCGTGCACATATCGCGTTTATTTCAAATATTTCTAATATTACGAAAAAAATCTTCGTCTATGTAAAAGAAAACAAAAAACTTTAAGCAACCTAATGATTATCTACTTTTAGAATATATAAGAGAAGAAAAATATAGAATAATTTCTTCAAGGTAAGAAAAAAATTTGAAAAACAAAGACTTAAATTGTTAAGACAAATTAAAAATATGAAGATTAATAATAAGAATAAAGTATAATATAAAAGATGTTGCGTTATTAATATAAAAAAATTAATAAATAAATTACAGTTTAAATGCTGTTTCGAGAAAAAGATAAGGTCGAAAATAATTTTTGCTCTTAGAGTCGTTAAACAAACATGACACATATTTTGTATAAGAATATTTATTCATGCATTGCGTATTTGATGAGATTTCGTTGTAAAAAGATAATTGTATGCAGGAACGATTCTTTTGTCGACTTTAAATAAATAGTTCTATAATATCCTAACTTACGCAAGACTCATTGTAAAAGAAAAGAAAATTGCTCTTACCATCCAGTGTGAATCGGTTGGCTGTCGATTCCACATTTCGTATTTCCGTTCTAGCTTCCCAATTAGCGTATACTTCCTGTAAACGCGTAGATAACACGCCCACCATATTATTGGGTCTGCAAATTGAAAAATAGTAGACAAATACAAAAATTAAAAAATATAAAAAATTAAGTTAAAAGTAATAAAATTAAAATTAATACGGAGAAAATAAATCCTTAATAAATCCTTAATAAAGTGAGTAATAAGTTGAGAATTAAAGTTAGGATATAATATAAAACGATTATTTTAACTTTATAATGTCAATAAATAAATTGTACATTAATCTACTAAACTATTTGAGTAACAATAACACAATATATTATACATCAATGTGTAAGAAAATAAATTTTTTTATGATAAATTATCGTTTATCATGATTAATTTTACGCAAATGGAAAAATGTGCAATTAATCAGACAGAATTATGAATATTATGCCTATCGAAAGTAGGTCTGCGTTCAATTAATTTGCTATCGGATCTGTAATAATATGATACGCACGATGCATTCACCGATTCAATGCATATGACTTGGAAAATAGAGAAAGCGAAAAGGCTATTGCGGAACAATGCAATTGCAAAAATAAAGTAAATTGTAAAACACGCTTAATTGCACTTCTTACTAGGGACGAATGAACAAATTACGATAATACATGATATCTTTTGTGTGCCAACGTGGGACGTACTTTCTCTCTAATTAAATATTCCGAGATTGAACGAATTTGTTTCTCAATACATCAACAGTCTTGTTTCTTGGTTATAGGCAATTAAATGATGCAAACGATATTAAAGAAACAAAGCGAATGATGAAAATCTTTAGCATCTTTTAGAACTGACAATTTTTTTATTAAGAAATTAATCTTTAAAGAAGAAGCTAATAATCAAAGGAGTGTAAACTTCAAAATTGACATATTTTAAAACTGAAACTAAATTCTTAAAAAATATATTTGAGAAATAAACGTATTCAATAAATAGATCTTTGTAATATTACGAAAAAATTATACATACTAATACATAATGTAAATAATTATAAAGATGCAAAAAGATGCAACTTCTTTGAATCAAAATTTCTTTATTTTGAATAAAAATCGTTTATCTATAAATAATAATCAATTCATATATAATAAATAATTAAACAAAGTTAATTAAAAATCGCATTATTTTTATACATATTTTTATTACGATTGATAGCTCTAACTACAAAGTGATATGTAATAAGTTTAATGTAATAAGTTTTTATTTTCTTGGGTCATGGTTCAAGTAGTAATGCACTTTATCGCATTTTTTTCCATTATACACAATTGAGCCAATGTTTATTTAATCTTGTATCCTTAATTTATTGTTTTTATCGCTTTTTCTGCGTATGAAATCAAACTAAAAAAATTTAATCAACAAGCTTTTTCGCATATGATGTATCGAGTAATTTTCATTCTATGCATCGTGTATAGCAATAGTTGCGAGCACAATCGTCACAAAGGCTGTGCTTCATGGTGATGGTTCAGAAGCGAGAGATTGTCAAGAGTTATTACGAGCCGTCGATTAGGCTCGTACGATCCCGACAATGGCGTAGTACGTCCAGTGTTACGCGAGAAACATTCAACAAAGACAAATTTAATATAATTCAAAATAGATGACAGTAAAAATAAAAGAGAAAAAGACAACAGGAAAAAAATATATTTTTATAATTATTTTTCTTATATGTTACTAATTTGCTGTATATTGTATATTTGACATTAAAACGTAATTTCTCTCTTTTTATGATTATTTAAATAAATCTCAATGTTTTCTTATTAAAAAGAATTATAACGTTCGTTTCACGTATTATTGATTTGTTCATGAATATCAGATTAGTATGTTATAATATTATTGATATTTAAATATCCAATTTTCAGCATATAATTTCTCGTTTATCGAAGATTATAATAAAATTTTGGTAATTTCAGGTTTCTTTTATGTAGACTGTACAACATATTTTATGCGTCATATCATTCTTCAAATATTACAAATAAAATTTGTTTTTTTTTTCTGTGTTTACAGCATCAAAAAAATTCCAGCGAAATTATATAACATTTTTTCAATATAAATTAATGAAATTACTTTTGTTTGTTATTATTACATATTTAAAGAGAAAGAACATCTGTATTTTGAAAATAAAAACGGCAATTTGAAATATTTCTCTCAAAAGAGAGAAATAACATCGGAACATTTGATGATCTTTATTCTATATCTTATTCCTCTCGCAAGATAAACTGAAAAAAGTACTTTAAAAATAAAATTGACTTTTTCTTTCATACCTTTTGTGTCGAAATATATAACGGAAGTGTGATACGCCGACATACAAATGTAAATAATTACAAATGTAAATAATACAAATGTATAATAATTGTCAGCTTAACGAGCAATTTTGAATTAATTATATACTGTTCATCATAACTATTATTTGTGACTTGTGATTTAAAATGACTTCGCAATTATACAAAGAGACAAAAAACGATTCTATATATACTTCGCAATTATACAAAGAGACAAAAAAACGATTCTATATATCTAAATATAATAAATGAGACACATTATGTATTACGCGTAAAACACTTTATTACCTTAAAACACATGTGATAATTGCTATTTCGCTAATATTGTAAGAAATAAAAAGACGATGCAAAGAGTGTAAAAAGTTTCAACGCAATGCATGATAAAATATTTTCATGTTATATTCGTTATTCAGCAATAACGATAGCACAATTGGCAACTCAATATACAACAATGTGTGGTGATTGAATCTTTGTATTCATCGAAAATAAAAACTTATACTTTGCATAAAAACAGAAACGTTAACCCTACATCGAAATTGTGACTGCTTAATTCTATGATCAAGTTTATATAAAGTAAAATAATAATCAAATTAGTTGTTAATGATAGTTCACGACAATTATATTATGTTAAAAGAAGAAACTTATTTTGATACTTCTTTTTATGAAAAACGTCAAACAAAATTAATTTTTTATACGTTATTTTTTTCTATATTTTTTATATTATTTACATCCTATATTATTTGTGATAAATATAGATTGATAAATTATATCAAAAAATCCTCTTATTAATTTCATGGATTAATAAATAGCTGACTAGAAACTTTAAGAATATATTGAAAGTAAACGAGATAGAAACAGTCTTACAGTAAATATTTCTAATTTAAAAAAAAAAGAAAAAACAATATGTTTTTTATAATAATTAAGTTTTTTCATACTATGAAGAATATATACTAAAAGCAATATAAAATAATATGAAATATATGATAAAAGTTATTTAAAAAATATATTTTATAGATGGAGAACAATTATAAAATATATGTGAGTT